TATAGTACGAGAGCTAGCAACGTCGGAAAAACAAGTATTTTAAGACGTCTGGCTCTTTGATATATCTTTTACTATGCTCTCTAGAACAGCATGAGGCTCGTCTGGCTGCCGGTAAACGTTGCGTTCCGTACTGCATATTGAAAGAAGATCCTTCATTTTTATTAGTCCTTTAAATTCTAGCATTGAATATAAATCGAACATCTCTCCATAGCGCAGCGCGTAGAGTTTCCGACCACGAACCGATGATTCAGAGTTCGAATCCGGGTCAGGACAAAGACTTTCTTATTTTATTTTCGTTTATATTCTGATAAAGTATTAAATATTTGTTTTTTTTAATCACCTGATTTATTTATTATATTGACTCAAAACTGACAACTAAAGAGACAGCTTTATTTATTTGTCAAATTACATAGAAACCAACGCCAACTAATCAAGTTGCGATAAGTTTTTACGGCTATTAAGCTATCCTGTACTCTTCGCACTAAAAGAGGTTCTAAAAACAACAATGTTCGACTGCAAGGTCTGCTAGTAAACATTTTTAAGATTAAAGAGTATCACAACACTATTTACTTAAAACCAAAATCTCGTAATACAAAACTAAAGTGTCAAAACGAATGACAATATCAGGAAATAAATAAATGAATGCGCAACTTGACATTTTTTACAACAGAGCGACCACCTGAATCCCCAGATTTGTATTTATGTAAAATTTATTTTTATGAATTTTTGTTACTCTAATGTGCCATGATGTTTATTTTGAATTATAACGTAGAAATTATTAGCCGTGAAAAATAAAATACGATAATTTCTATAAAATTTGGTGGCGGTAATGAGCTTTTCTGTTTTATTTTTAGTGCTAGGTGAAATAATTCGACAGACAGGAATTGGGCAACTGTATTAAACGAGCCTGTTATTTTTCGTGAATATAATTTGTGGGTGACATAACTCAGACACAATAAATAAAAATAATTATAGAAATAAAAATATTATTAAAATGTGTATTAAAATCAGAAATATAAATATTGCACGATCGAGAAAAAATGTGTAATATGATGGTAGACCCCACTGTATATAATTTTTGTTATTGGTATGTTATACCGTGTGATCGAGAAAAACGGTGTCAGCGATGGCTATGAAATGAAGATCGCTGTTATTTTTATGTAAATTTATATGGGAAATGTCATCGATCGTCATTTCCCAGCCAACTGGACGCCGTTTTTTTTCGATCATACAGTATATGTAGCAATAGGAAATGTGTTGCAACGATTTCATACTCATCAGAACCTGTAGAATGAAACTATAAGTTAAAAATAGGATGACATATACTGGATAAGAGTTGTTGATTACACCACAATATACCACAATACACACTTGTGGCGAATTAGTATTTTATTTTGCTATTGTAACATCAAAGGTTCCAACCGAGGTTCCAACACTCAACTGTAATATTTGTTATATTTATTTATAGATTTAAATATACTTCAAATTTAATTTACATATTTAAAACATTTATTATCAAGAAATAATTTTTTCATGGTACTATCTAATAAAAATTTTCGATCATCCTCTAAGTTATAATAGATTTTTCAACATAGTGTGGCCAGAAAAATAAATTGCCATTCTATCGAAGAGGAAAGTTTTACGACGAAACTTTTTCTTTACGATCCTGGTCTTTTATTATTTTCGTACTTTATATTGGTTTTAAGATGAAGGTTTGAAATAGGCTGTTATAGAAAGAGCATTTTGGTGCTTGCAAAGCCAACACCATCAGTGACGTGCATATAATGTAGGCAAAAGGGCGCTGCTTACCCCAGACAACATATTCAGTACCTATAAAAGAATTTTTATTTTTGCTGTTTTTTCCTATGTTTAATAAATAAGAAAATATAAATAAACGCGGACTTTTAATCTAAAAAAAAATAAAAAAAAATCTTTCTCGATATGCCTTCGCTGATCGAATTAAAGAAAATGAGTGGTTTTTGCGTTGGCCGCAGGACGAGTTGGGGCTCCACCGTACAGCACTTGAAACGTAAGGGGAAATCAAATCAGCCTTATCAGGAATTCGCCGATTAGGTTGCGTATCTTCCCAATTCTTTCAGTCAACACTTTCTTTTCTTTTAATTTACATATTTTCGCTACATCAACACTAAATACTTTACATCTATTCATGGATTTTAATATTTAGAAAAATTGTGTTAGATTTCGATTTTAGTCTAGAAATATGTTTTACTTTAAATTAATCTGATTTTCTTTTATTATATCTTTTATACTATTTTTTTTTGCTTGAATTGCGAGATATTTGCCGATTTTTTTTTATTTTCCCGTAATTTAATAAGTCGACTGGCTATCTAATGAATCTTTTTTTGTGAGCCAATGTCATGTTCAGCATGACCTGCTCAATCAAGTCAAAACATTTCAAAGTTCCTTAAGAGTCCATTTCACTAATCCGAAATAGTAGCAAAATAAGCGCTCGGCATTTAACGTTTTATGTAAAACTGACTAGGTATTTTTGCACAGATGTAGAAGGAAATTAAAGATAAAGGATTATACTATATCCGTATTGTAGCACATTTTTAAACAACTTCTTTATTTTTAAGATTTTCATGGTCAAACATCAACAAAATATTCCTTATGTTTGGCCTAAACTTTATCGAAAATAAAAACATCATTTAAAATTCCGTTACAATACGGAAATAGATTGAAGTTTTGTGATTACAGTGATATATAATTTATATAGTTTTGTAACAAATTGCTCGCTATTTTCCGGCAAATTCTGAAGCTCTGCAAACCTTAATCAAAGCACGTGTGTTTGGAATTTTGGGTGTATCTTAACACGACAGGATCGGGTTAAGCCTAAGGCAGATTTCTGAAATGTAATATATATTTCCTTCGGCCACAACCCGCTTTACCCGACCCCTGAGAGCAACCCGAACATTACAACGTAATAGACTCTTAGTAGAATAGAGTTTTCTAAATTCATGCTAAAAATCATATTCAATCACACACAAAATGCATTGTGAATTACACAAAAAAAAATATTTTTTTACATGAGTGTATGTAGGTAGTAGAAGAACACCCTGTAATGTGACAAAATTTTTCTGAAATTTCTAAAAATAATTCTATAAAAAACAATTTCGAGAACAATATTATGAATTTTTGAAAGACAATATTGAGATCATATCCCTCTAAATTATGTGAAAAAAACATTCAATACCAGGACATGAAAATGAATTAACTATTAATCAAATATACTACCTATCAATAATTCAAATTCAAGAAAATTAGGAATAATAAAATTCTGTTTTATTGAAAACCTCATTTTTTGTTAATTATGAATCCAAATATTTTCCTTTAATCTGTTAATTGATCGGTCAAATATTTAAACAATGTTCAAAATTGATTTTTGTGTAGAGTGGTACACACGACATGCTCCAGTCTATATAGGAGAAAAAAAAACAACCACTATTATTTAAAACACTTTTATTACTCCATGCTAAAATAACAAAAAAAATGTCTTCAAAACAAACAGTGCGTGTGTATGTATGTATATACAGGTAGAGCATAAACATCAAACAGACAGACAATGTACAAGGATATACCTTAACTTGAAGATTTATCAAATGGGAATATAACTAACAATCATCAAATCCATTGATAAAACTAACTAAGGAATCAGGAAATCAGACAGCGGAATTTTTGTATTTTTTCGGAAGTTCAGAATTTTATTTTTTGCAACCAGATGCTTCCATGTTAGCTTGAAATAAACATCCTGTATATGAAAAAAGTTTTAACAACTTTACAGTAATCATTCTGTATAGAATTCATGATACTATAGGTACATTTTTGATCTGAGGCAATAAACGATTTTTTTTTAAAATTATTTTAGAAAATATTCAGTGCCCCACAAAAAACGTTTTAATGAAATACTGTTAAAAAAACAGAAATTTCAGTAGTGTAATGTACAGGGAATATTAAAAAATGCATAAAAATTAATAGATCTTCAATATACTTATATGGAGTGATGAAAATAAGAATATACGAGGAGCAGTCTTACTAAATGCATTTTGTTCATTTTTTAAGATTTTCAACCAAGGCAAGGGTGGCATGGCAAACTACACACATAAAGTTACAATATTATGTCAGAAACGATCTTCTAAATTCATTTTATCCTATTCGAATTAAATGGCGAAAATACCTTAGACTTTCTATGTGCTGTATGCCCATTGGCGGTAGACAAGCAAACAGAAGTATGTACTTTTGTGCTGTGGACATACTGCTGTTTGCTTGTGATTGCCAGATGAAGTGTTTTTTTTTTGTACTATAACTTCTCTATTTTTTGTGAATTATACTAGTTAAAATAATGAATGGTACTACGAATGGGCACCATGTAGTTGGGGATACGGACCGTGGTAGCAGAAAAATAAAGATAAATTTCACGTCTAAAGGACTGTCAACAGTTTTTTTCAATTTTTTCATATATCATTAAAACTAGATTTTACACATGTAGGTGTACCATTTTTATAATTTTTGGTCCTTTTTTAAGTATACTAGTTTTCGGTAAGTTTCTTGCAAAAAACGTAGCAGTTTTTCTTTGTTTCAAAATTCGAACAAATGGACAACGTAGATCTAGAAAGTCTGCTTCTCAATTACATACTTAACTATTTTTTAGAAAACTTTCATTTCATCTTTAAAATTAACACAGTATGCCCCCATCTTAATGTTTTTGATTTATTTATTTTTCTCAAATATTGTATAAATATTCAGGAATTTGTGTATTTTTGTGTAGAGTAGTTACACACAAAACATGCTACAGTCTACATCAGAGAACCTCAGGAAGGTTCTCTGACAGGAGAAAAAAAACAACCACTATTACTCAAAAAACTTTTATTAATCCATGCCAAAATAACAGAAACATGTCCTCAAAACAAACAGTGCGTGTGTATGTACATACAGGTAGAGCAAAAACATCAAACACAGACAGACAATGTACAACGATCTACCTTAACTTCATCCATTTGGGAATTAAGAGTTTTTAGGTTAGAACCTGGGAACGATTACCGAAGGGGAATATAACTAACAATCACCAAAACCACCGACAAAACTAACTAAGGAATCCGGAAACTGGACAGCGCCTACAGGACGACGACCACAAAAACAACGGGATTGAACTTCCGGACATCGTATATGAAACAAAAGCCGCGCGCGAGACAGCGATACGATGCTCACCGTTGGAGGGTTTAAAAATAACTAGACTGACTTCATTTTATTCAGCGGGAGGTTCAGAGTCTCTCCTGCTGCGGCTGCTGCTGTTGGCGCCTGATCCTGAGGAGGGTAGCGCACCGTGCGGCGAAAACCGAAACGTTGGGGGAGAGATGGAGGTACAGGACGCTCCCGGAGATCCTGAGGGAAGGAGGATAAAACAGGGGGGCGGAGGAGGGATAGAGGATGAAGGACATCTAGTGGAAAAGACGCGAAACTGAAACTTGGTTGGTGGCGGAAACTTGCTTGCTTGGCTGGAGCATTGGCAGCCAAACCAAACCAAACCAAATTATTCGTAAAAAATGCTTTTTCCAAATATGCTAATGAGCCACCGTTGTTCCATTTGAAAAAAATGAGATACGATTAAAAAACGATTTGGGCATCTTTTAACCGACCAGGACAAGACACGAAAAACATAAGACGATCAAATCTATTTTTCCAAGGCTCCTTGATTAAAAATTAGTATTTTTAACAAAGCCATGACACTCCATGACAGTCCTCTTTTTGATCTCACTGTCCTCTTTTCTCTCGCGTATTGAGAAAGTCCTCTTTTTCATATACCAAACTCAAAATCTAAAAAAGATTCATCTTCGTCAGAATGTATTAAAAAATTGTTAATCTGTGACGCTACTCCCACTCGTTTCAAGGGATGAACATGTTTAACTATTTTAGGTTTACTTACTGTTCACTTATATTTTGAAAAAAAAGTTTTGTTGAAAATTGATGAGTTTTTTATAAATATTTGTAAGAAAGACTCGTCAAACCGTGACATAACTTTTTGGTAAATTCTAGACATTTGGGCGAGGTTTGAAAAAATATTTCGCCTGTGCCTCTTTTTTACCCTCTATTTTGAAACTTGGCACCCCGACTCTAGGTGAATATTAAAATACGATATTTTTTTAAGCGAGAATATCAAAAATTGACATATGATATGTCATTCTATTCCAGTGCCATATCGAAATCAAAAGTTGTATTCTTTCCGGTGAAACAGGAAGTGACCAAAAACAATTGAATACGTCAATCAATCCTATTTTACACTTGAAAAAATATAGTCAACAAGGACATCACGGCACTTCATAGGATTATATCAAATGACTTAATCACTATTAAATCTTGGTGCGATTCGAACCTCCTGAGCCTCAACATTTCTAAAACTAAAGCTTTGTCGTATAAAAACTCGTTGCAGCCTTTTGTACTTAACAACACCACCATTGACGTCGTCAAATCTGTAAAATTCTTAGGGCTTGTTGTGGACAATTCTCTGAAATGGGACATACTAGTCAGTGGCTAGAACTGTTTATTATGCACTTTTTGAGTCGCACCTCAGGTATGCCCTTCCATTCTGGGGTACGTGTTGTGCGACTCAATTTGACCGCATTTTTAGGCTCCAGAAGAGAGCTGTTCGATATTCACTGGGCCTAAACAGCAGAACTCATTGCTGGGACTTTTTTTAAAAATTAAAAATATTGACTCTTCCTTCCTTATTTATATTTGAATCCGTTTGCCTAATACGTAAACCTGTATCAGCTTCTCAAGAAAGGCCATCTCACACTTATCCACTCAGGAACGCGGAGCACGATCTCTATCTACCTACCCCACGCTCAGAGTTAGTTAAAAGTTCAATATTATACAACTCGAAAAAAATGCACAATCACCTGCCATTTGAAATCAAATCCTGGATCCATAACATCATTTTTTTTCATTTCGCAAAGCATTTAACTCTTATTTACTAGACAAGGCTTTCTACGCCGTAAATGAATTATATTTTGAAAATCAAATTTGATCTTGTAAACACTGGTCTAATGTTTGCTATTGCTATATTTACTAATGACATCGAAATGAATTTATTTAGAGATCATTGATATTTTACTATAAACTAGCTAAATATTTTTGAATATTATTTTTATTTTTTTTCTTTGCATTATAAACATTTATAAATGTTTATTTTAACAATAAGACTGACAATATTATTTGTATAATGTTTTGTATTATCTTTTGTTTGTTTGTTTGTGTACCTTGTTTTTTATTTTGTTTGTTAGTTTACCTTTGTCTACAAATTGAAAAATTTTTTTGACAATAAAGGCATTTATTATTATTATTTTTTTTTTTGTCACGTTACCTGTAAGTAAATCTATTGTCGTTTTTCAAGGGGCAAGACAATAGTTTTTAGCAAATCTCAAGTTTAATACTTTTCTCATTATGTTGCATGTTGCGAGAATAACTGACTTCTGAAGTTGTATGTAAAGATTTTGGTTAAGTTCCAGTTTTATCAGATTGTGAAGGAGCTGCTTGGGGATTTCTCCAGTTGATCCAATCACTATAGGCACCACTGACACCCTATCCACTCCCCAGACCTCTTTCATATCCTGTGCTAGTAAGGTGTATTTGTCGATCTTTTCTTGATGTTTTCGGTTGACATTTGTAGGGGCAGGGACAGCGATATCAATAAGATAGATTTCTTTTTTGAGTTTGTCCAGCAGACATATGTCTGGTCTGTTGTGTTGCACTGTCCGATCTGTTAATATTTCTCTATCCCAGTATAGTAGCATTTATTATTATTATTATTATTATTATTATTATTATAGTCTTAGAAATGACCTGTATTAACTTATATGACGTTTTTCAAATACAAGATAAGGGAGTTTGTAAGCAAATAAAAACCATTTAAAAAAAGTATTACTTATTACAAAACCATATAAAAATAATAAAAAATGTTAGGTGACACCTTGAATTCGCACCATTTCGCCATATTCTTCAGGCTTTGGTAAGATTTGATGATAAAAACGCCGACAAAGATGGGAACGTTGATACCGTGTCTTCTGCAGGACTTTACGTAGTTTTCCAACACGTCAAAATCGAAAACTGCTTGGGTTAGAATAAATTCAGCTCCAAGGGATATCTGAAAGAAAAAAATAGTTATTTTTTATACAAGACCAAGACAATAAAATGGTATTTTATTGTCTTGGTCTTGGTTATTAATTTCGGGAGACCCTAATGCAATTTTATCGTCGTGTATAAACAATATTTTTTCCATAGCGAGTTACGTTTTAAAAAATATTCAGAAATTATTATTTCAAGGGATTTATTACCAGTAGAAAAAATATTGTGCTGGGTTGGCGTTGGTTTCTACGTAATTTGACAAATAAATAAAGTTGTCTCTTTAGTTGTCAGTTTTGAGTCAATATTTTTTAATTCTCTTTCGTGTCGATTGCTGATTGAATTGGAGGTAGAAATGGCTCAAAACGAAATAAGTAAATTACCAACAGATATTCAGGCTGAGGCGACAAACGCCATATCCAAACTAATTCCATTTAAATCCCGAATAACTTATGAAAAGGAATACAAAAATTTTCAAAAATGGAAGCAATTAAAAAACATGCGAGAAGAAATAAAGTTTTTAACCTATCCTCGCTGTTAAAGTAATGTATGTATGTATGTAATTGTCTTTATTTCCCACGAATTATATTATTGGCTTAAAATCTGGTGTACTATACCTTTTTCTTTAAATAATCAAGATCCCTTTCTAAATCCTCACAATGCGGATGCAAATCTGGATAAGCCGTAACACCAACACAAAATTCACTTCCAAAATTTTCTTTAATAAAGGAAACTAGATCCGAAGCATAAGGAAAATCTACTTTGGTATCATCCTTCTCCAAAACATGAACCCAATCTGAAAAAAAAACTCTAAAAATATCCTAATTTACCAAGTTTAAACGACTTACCTCCTTGTAGAGCCAGAACATGTTTAATTCCGCTATTTTTCAGTAAATTTAAAATCTCCAACATGCGTTCTTTCTTCAAGTTCCTCCCGGGTAAATGAACCAATACCGGACATTTCAGTTTATTTAAATTTTGCGCCAGGACAACTGTTGGAATCTGGTGGTTAGGCAACTGCAAATACTTCGCTCCGAGCCATGTGACGGAAATAAAATGTGGACCAAGTTCGCCGAGTAATTTGGCATTGAAATTGTTATTAGGAGACACTTCTATCGATATCCTGTTTTGCGAGGTTTCTAAAATCGAGTATTTGCCACTCATATTGTCTGTTCGTTTGTCAGAAGCGGATTTTAGCGCTACTGACTTGTTTACCCAAGTTTTTATTTTCTTGTTTAACGCTAAAGTTACTGGCGACCTTGTTATCAATCTTGGAGACATATGTGTGCTAAATATCAATAAATAGAAACAAAATCGAAAACACAGGCAATGAGACAATCTTATAAATAAACTGGTACAGAATAGATCTTTGGAATAGATATGGAGAGAAATATAGTTCGATTTTTGAAGTCGACACTGACGTCAGGATCAATTAATTATTAACAACTGAATTTTAACCATAGAAAAAAAGATATTTAACTAATCTAAATCAAAGTTTACAGAATAAATGTAAACTTTGTCTAAACGCGCTTTCACTGCACAAACTTATGAAACGTGGAATCATCAACTTACGAGGGTAATGTTAAAAGTTTGAGATTCCAAAATGATATAAAACATTTTTTTTTAATTAATTTTTATTTTCTACATAATCTGCTTGGCTATCAAAAATAGTTGTTTACAGTTGAAACTGATGACTTGCCTTGTTTGCCAAGTACACGACTCTGACGATCACTCGTGTACTTGGCAAACATCTCCGGCAATAGTGCGTCAGGCATCTGTATATAGCTCCTATGATAATAAACAACTACGAATAACAAATGATTGCCAAGTACACGAGTCCTGCTTGAGCGCCAAGCTTGCCATAACTATCTACAAAGTTAGTGAACTTGCCAAGTACACAAATATTGGTATACTTTGCCCAATCGCTTTGCCAAGTACACTAGTCGTCTGAGACCGGCTTTAGACCATATTACTCCGAGTTGCTCTGAGTGTATAACTATATTATGCATAAAATTGTACAATCAATCAATATTTATTTCCTTATCTATGTTTTTACATGCTCAAAAAGGAAAATAAAGTTTATTTTTATTACGGAGCTTAATATTAATCCTATTTTGGTTTCTGTTTATAGCTTCTCGTATATTTTTATGGATTGCGATTGCCAAATCTGTATTATAATTATATTTAGCGTAGAAAACGAATTTTATACTTTATCATACATGTATATTTATTTAATTACTCTGATTTTAGAAAATAAAACGTGACTTTTGAATATACAGTTATTTAAGGTAAGAACGCTTATCATCCAAGTACCTAATATCTTAGTGAGAACAACACGCTAACTTTGTGTATTATATTTTAAAAAATGGCATACAGAGTGTAAATAAAAATAAATGAAAAATATATACAGGGTGAGTGTTAAATATAAGTGCTAATATTTTTAGTGTTGGTATATTTCCACATCAGGAACGCGTTCATGAGGTTTTTTTCGCAAAAAAGATGTTGAAAAGTGTGCATTTTCTTTTAAATTTTCCTGTATATTTTAGAAAACTTTTTAGAACTGTCTACCATTCTCTGTGTCTGCCTTTCCTAACCTAACCAACTTACGTCACTAAAACGGATGCGAACACAGAAAAAATCCGGTGGGTCTCAGATTTTTTTAAAAATAAATCAATTTTTAAATTTTCAAACGTGAATAACTCGGTTATTTTGAACTTATTTGAAAAACGGTAAAGAGAAAATATGTTTGTTTTATCGAGATCTACCAGCCCTGAAAATATTTGCACTTATTTAAGACCCTGTATAAATGAAAAAATGAAAAATAAACCTTATATTTATGATCTAGGAAAAAAATAAATAAATGAAATTTTCTTAACGTTTCTGCTATATTTTCTTCGCAGACATTATGTGAAAATCTGTACAAATAAAAAAGTTATACGATTGCTGAAAATTGCTATGCACCAAAAGTAAATGGACGCGTTTTTTAACCTTCTTGGACAAAGAAACAAACCTGTCGATTTTTTCTCAATTAAACATCTTGTTAAAGATCCGAACTGCAAAATAAAAATACGAAAATTTCAATATAACTAAAGCAGTTTTTGAGTTACATTTAAAATACATACACATTTTGTCTGTAAAAAACGAGACAAAGCAGTTTATGAGAAACAAAAAATGTGTTTTTGTTTCTCATAAATTTATTTTTTCTCATAATATATATATTTTCAGCCTTTTTAAAAAAGATAATAAATATATGAAATGCCCTGAAATGAAAACTATACATTACAATTACATACTTTAGTTTTGCACTTGTACAAAATTTCGTAGTTGTTTCTTATTATAGGAGCTATACAGATGCCTGACGCACTATTGCCGGAAATGTTTGCCAAGTACACGAGTCGTCAGAATCGTGTACTTGGCAAACAAGTCAAGTCATCAGTTTCAACTGTAAACAACTATTTTGATAGCCAAGCAGATTATGTAGAAAAATAAAAATTAATTTAAAAAAATGTTTTATATCATTTTGGAATCTCAAACTTTTAACATTACCCTCGTAAGTTGATGATACCATGTTTCACAAGTTTGTGCAGTGAAAGTTCGTTTACAAAGTTTACATTTATTCGAGACCAAGCAGTTTATGAGAAACAAAAACTGTTTTTTTGTTTCTCATAAACTGCTTGGTCTGCGACAAATAAAAAATACCGTATGATCAAAAAAAAAACGGAGTCTAGTTGGCTTGGAAATGGCATCGATGGCATTCCCCATATAATTTTACATATAAAATGACAGCGATCTTCATTTCATAGCCATCGCTAACGCTGTCTTTTTTTCGATCATATTGTATTTCTTGGCACATCAAACGGTAAAATCTAGTAGGCGATTATAATTTAATGGGCAAAAATATAGTGTACCTATTGAGACACTTCTGTATATCCAATAACGTCAAAACGAAAAATTCCGTTTTAAAAACATTTCGAAAAAAACATTATGATTTATTCTTTGTAATGTAATAAATTTATTTCCTTTATTTAAAACTATGAATGATTGTGACATTTTCTAAATTATTAGAACTAATTGGCATTTAAAATTTATAAACAAACCAAATTAAGACGCATTTTTCTCCTGGTGACGCTCTCAACAAAGTGCGAACTTTTCTGTAAACGATTAAAACAAACTTGTACTGAATAATCACAAAATTTATTTAAAGACGTTCAACAGATTTCTTTACAGCTGGTAAAATCATACAAACAATAAAATGCTGAGAGGACCAATAAAATCTAAATATATAAATATTGTTTTTATATACATGTGTGCCTGTGGTTTTGATCGTAAACTTTTTAAAATAAAGTAAAAAATTAACATGTTTTATGAGAATATTTCACAAAAAAATATTAATGCTTGCAAAAAAAATGATTACATTACAACTGCCCACTGTCTTTTATACAACCTTTCTTTATTTTACTCCTATATCACAAATAATAGATTAAATTTACTTTATAAAATTTATATTTTGGCGTCTTGAGACCAACTTGACAGGAACTCAAAATTCGCTAGCTTCAACAGTTCCACTTTTGTTTTGGTCTTTGAAAATTTCTGGCCTTCTCAATATGAGAAATCAATCAGTTTATTTTACTAAATCAACGTATTCAAAACATATTTTTTCTGTCGTTCTATAAATAAAAATTCACCTAATACACAAAATAATATAAATATAAAAAATATGTTTTGAACTATTATCCCGGGAAGTAGTTTTTTACAAGTGTTATTATGTATAAATCGAGAAAAAAGAATAAAACTAAAAAATTAAATGCCGTCATTTCTTCTTTAGCCTGTTTGCTATCCATTCCAACCCTTGATATAAACTACAATAATAAATTACCATTAAAAAAGAATTAAATTCACTGAATATACTGACCCTTCGCCTGTAAGTGCACAACACGACTGTATATGCCACTGTTGTTGTTTGATAGACGTTAAGTCAAGCTCTTTTGATATTTCGGAGGCAGTCATTGAACCTTTTACATCTTGTTTGTTTGCGTATACTAAAACACCAGCTTTAGACAGCTCTTCGTGCGCCAACATTTTGTATAACTCTTCTCGTATCACTGAGAGTCTCTCCCTGTCTGTGGAATCTACTACAACTATCACAAACTGAAAGAAATACAATCATTGTGATATAGGAAGAATCCATGATTACTCAATAATGTGAAAAATTATAATAAGAAGAGGAAGTTAATAACTTATCAGTTTAATAAAAAGATAAAATAGATAAGTATGAAAATAATATAATATAAATTGGACTTTTAGGACAAAAAAAGGAAAAATATCTTGTTAATACTATCATGACTTATTTATAGAATTGTATAAGAAGAGAAATAAAAAGATTTTACCTCTGTATTAGTGTAATAAGTACTCCAGGCAGCCCTTAATGATTGCTGGCCACCTAAATCCCACATAATAAAATGTATATTCCTCCATACGACTTCCTCTACATTAGATCCTATAGTAGGACTTGTATGAACAACTTCATTCATTAAAAACTGATACAATATTGTTGTCTTTCCTGCATTGTCTAGTCCGACAATAACAATTTTATGCTCTAAAAACAATGACAAGAAGAATTGTAATTTAGAACGTTCATAATAGAAAAACGACTTTCTCACCTTCATTGCCAAATAGGCTCCACAATTTGGCAAATAACAAACCCATTTAAAAATAGATTGTTAAAAAGAAAGTCTAATAATCTTATTAAAAAACAAGTCCTTTAATAACAACACACCAATCACTCACTAAACTAGTCTAATCACGTTATGGTTTTCTTTGTTCATTATTCAAAGCCTTACGACATAGAGTTTTTCCCTACCTATTTATTAACGAACACTGATATTTAGAGCACAAGAAAGTTTATCGTTTTTGCACGGCGATTATCACGCTTCCGCATTTTAACATACAAAAAGCGTTCTTGTGAAAGCTGTCAGTCAAAATCATATGGAAGGGCGAATTGTATACGGAAATAAACGGAACGGCGTTGATTATTGTGGTGCCATCTATGAGAAATTAGCCACACCATTCTCAGTTTTTCATATAGATTTCTCTAATGTGCGGTAAAATAATTTTTTAGGCTATCTTTTTGACAGTTATTTCAAATTATTTGTGAATCAGAGATTACATTCATATAATTACATTTAAAATATTTCTTTCTTTAGAGGTATGTATTCCTAAGTTATTTTTAAGAAAGAAAAGACATAAAATACTTAACAGATGTATATTTATATAAAATAATATAGAGCCAGAGTCATTGTCTCAGATAGAGCAGTTAATACTCAAAAAAATACAAATAGAATTAGTAAAAATTGATTCCTCGATAAAAAGAGCGTGTAAAAATCAGTACGATAATGTAAAAATGAGATCTTAAAAAGATATAAAAGAAGCAGTTACTGTTACTGTATATATCAGCAGTCCCTACGTAATTCTAGGCATTTTTAATAACTTAATAAATACTATTAATTTAATTTCTTTTAATCCCCTGCTAGATTTAAGGGTGCATCTTCCGGAGTTTCACTGACAGTGTTTTCCGGCATGCTCAAATCAGTCGGAGCCTCGCTCACGGTATCTGAGGCAACACTAGCGTTAGTTTTGGGGTAGCTCAAATCCAGCATATTACTCGACAGATCCATTTTCGGTATTTTCGATGGTTTCTCTTCACTCTCTGTGCTCGGGGTTGGCGAAGGCCTGCTTAAGTTCAACGAATAATCACTTGCACTCGTTGTCATGCTTGTATTTGAGCTCGTTTTCGTTATACTTATGTTAGGTACGTAAAAATCAGCATGTTTCGTGGCTTTAGTGAGATTCGCCAGATATTCCGAAGAAAAATCCTTTGCAGATGTTTTGGGAATGTTCAGTTCTGGAGAGAGGAAGTGCATTTTGTCTTTGAAATGTAGAAAGTCCATAGAGTAGTCTGGGGGTTTGGTGGTTTTGATATCCGTAGGTATTTTGAGGGGTGTTGAAGAATGAACTTTAGAGTGATCATGAGACTTGGAAGACTTGCTATGTCCAGAACTATTGCCCGTAGGTGAGAATGGTTTTAGTAATTCTTGCATTTTAAACAAATTACTTTGTAGGAACATGTTATTAGCTGCCAAAGTACTGTGAGCCATCGGATCTGGCAAACCCAACAAACTACTAGGACTGGAATACTTTCCAGCGTTAAACAACAAACTGGAAATATCCGTAGGCAACATTCCTAGGCCTGAATTTAACCCCAAAGACGAATTTAAAGAAGGAAGCATATGACTGGATTTGGTTACTGAAGGTACCGAAATAAGGGGCTCCTTCTCGTCCGAAGAACATTTCAAGCTTTCTCTGATAAACCTCCAGATGTCTGTCTCGCTTTCATCTCTGGGAAACTTCGAGATCATCGTGCTCTTTAACTTATCAATGTACAGGGTGTTGCCGATAAATTTATCAGTGAAATTCACAAAATCGGATTCTTTTTCGTAGTAATTGATGCACCTGGTTATTTCGTCTCTGATGTATGGTGAGAGTACGCTGTCTTGAATGACGCTGTAAGACATGAGCATGGGACGGCCATATTCGTTGGGTTTCATTTCGGGTGGGGGAATCACCCAGTAGGCCATGATCGACGATTCCAAACTGACATTTTCGTAATTGTATGGAGCTAAAACATAAATTAATAAATACTGTTTACATATTTTTTTATCTGGAACATTAACACCAAAATATGAACTTTTTCTACAAAGGAATCACTCCTAAAATGATTATCTAACTTATAAAACATCCTGTATAATAAGAACTCTTATAAAAGTAACCCAAAATACTTACATATAATAATACCAACACAGGGAGTATAGCTGTTATCATGGGCGCCTCTCATTTTGATTTGGTAGTCTAGCTGGGCATCTATATCTCTCAAAGTTGGTGCTGCAGCGGCAAATGGATGAGAGTGGTACCATCCAACTAGAGTCAGTTTTTCTCTTTCTATAGTTTTAGCTATGTCAGCTTCAACTTGTGGTGCATTAGTTCGATCTGCTTTGGTGTTTCTGCACGGGTAGGCGTGTGTTATTTGAAGATCTATACAAAGAAACTTGATAGTTTTTACAAACATGGTTTCATAAATTTCAATTTAGCCTCAGATTATTTTTCACTTTACTTACTGTGAGAATTGACCTCCCAATGACCTGCCAGGTATCCACAGACCTCTGACTTTGTTAGATGACAGTGAAAATCCATTAACAGGGCAGCATTGGTGTGCAGAGATATCAGAAATGGCTGGATCTTTCCCAAATTCGAAAACGGAACACATTCTATCATAGTGTTGGCATCACTGAAAAAGATTGTGAAAAACTGCCACAATACTCAATACTGAACACTAAAACTTACTGAGTTAATGTTCTGTTAGCTATGGTGTTATGTTTAACAACAAATCTCTGAAACATTGTTGTATGACTGCTTGTAGCAGTCGATGTAGGAACTGAAGTAGATGATTTCAGCAGCTGTTCCAAATTTAGGCTGTTGGCTACTTGAGCTAAAACAAAGAACAGTAAAACATGTATCTAACAAGCTATCTTAGTTATAGAAACCTTCTTTTTCTAGCTGTTTCTCCTCCTCTTTTTTCTTTTTATACCATACGTTCTTATAGGCGTCTAATTTTTTTCCTTTATATTTGACAGAAGCCCAACCACATCCAGATTTCTTGTCTGGATTAATAAACCTTTTACAAGCTATAGCCCAAGCGCTCGGCGACGCGAAAACTATATCAGTCTCTTGACTGCGTATCTTGCCGTCCTCCAGAAGATCACCAACAAATTTTTGACCCTAGAATACATAATTTTTGTGTAACAAATTAAAAAATTTGTCAGGTTGCTGAAATCATTAAAAAGTTGCGGCAACCACAAGCCGGCGGCACGACTCGCGCGGATCGTAATGCTTGCGGCCAAATGTCGATAAAGATCAAACGAATATCGAGCAACCAGTCTTCTTTTTTGGTTTAGTTTTATGGTAGAGTTAAATGTTGGCCGTTTTTTTTGAGAAATGGAAGGGCAAAAAAAGAGCCAAACCAGTATAGAACCAGAGTGGAATAAAAAAAGCCATAATATGAAAAATGTAAACCATAAAGAGGACAGTTTATGGAATCCTAAAAATTAATATTACAAAAATAGAAATAAGGGACATGAGTGATTGAGATCAGAAATTAAAGGTAAAGCAAGAGATCATCATTCTAGTACATGGCAAAGAATACTGACAACAGAAAGTCGCTCATCGCTGCACACGGCAGTGTGGTGGTCCATGAACACAGCTAATTCTGCCCATCGAGGCGAGTCGCGCGAGTTGGCCGCCGGGTTTGCACAACTTAGTGTGGTCCCGGCATAAAATGGATAAGAAAATTAAGTGAGATCTTACTAAATACTCTATGGTCATAGCACCGGATCCCGGTTTTAAGATACCGGCAGACAAGAGCATCTGTAAAGTGACTGTCCTATTGCTGGGATCCTTCCCAACAACTTGTCTAACTTCGACAGGTGGTTTTCCATTTTCCGCAGGTGTTTCAGGTGGATGTTCAATCTCTGGTTCCTGAAAAATATTCATACAGATATTCTAAACTTAAATTGTGTAGCCCTTCAACCAAATTAAGCATTATATAAATATATACAGCATATTTTAAGCGATATGACTTATATTTATTGATGCGGAAATTAGTTTAGGAATTGGTTTGCTTAAATTATCCCGTATACCGGGTAGTTTTCAAAAGTACCCCCTAAAACGCTTTTATTTTTTCAGACAAAAAAAAGCGAGACTTGATACGGTAGTATATGACATAAATCAGAATTGATTGACGGTATTCAATTATTTTCGGTCACTTCCTGTTTTACTGGAAATGACTACAACCATTGATTTTTAAATGGTACACTCAGAATTTTTTGTTCATAACTACAGTTAAAAATTAGTGTTCATAACCACAATTTAATTTCAAGTATATGGACTATATGGTACTAAATTATTCGTAAAAAATGCTTATTCCAAATATGCTAATGAGCCACCCTCCTTCTATTTGAAAAATGATTGAAAAAATTGATCAAATATATTTTTCCAAGGCTCCTTGATTAAAAATTAGTGGTGTTAATACAGCCACGGAACTCTAGATTGAAATATAAAATGCTATTTTTTATTATCTGGATTATTTTATCATCTGAAAAATTAAAAAGTTATAGAGCTACTTTTGAAAAACACTTGGTATAATATAAAATGTGCAGGATGTGCTACATATTTATATTGCCCCTGTTGAAATGCATTGTTCAAAATACTTACCTTCTTATATCAACTTAAATCAGAGCTTACATTTGACTTTGTGTATTTCAGTTATCTACATTAAAAATCTACAACCTACATCTAAAGCTGTGCTTATTAAATTATCAAAAAGATTTAAAGGCAAAAACATGCATTAAAAAATTAGTTAAAGACTAAAATCTAAAAGAAGCTCTTATACTCTAGCATCATTCTATGCAGGAAAGGTCTGGAAGAATTAAATTGGTTATCGAAACGATTAGTGATATACAATTAATATATAAAGAATGCAGCATTCATATATATGTCGAGAAAATTGCTATTAAGTATATAAGACTAAAGAATAATATATAAAAAATGTAATGCATGAATTCTCTAGGATGTATATGATACTGCATGTGGTTGTTTAACATCAATTATATATCTAAAAGAAGCCCAAAAACCAAAAAGAACAAAACTGAAACCTCATCGAATTCTTCTTGGTCCACCTCTGTGTCCTCCTCGCGAAAACTATTATGCTCATCGTCATCTAAGTGATTCGGAGTAGAGGTTGCATTAGTATTATGCCCTAATAATGCGGCTGCAAGCTGAGACTGCATCTTAAGAAAAATATTCTCGTTAAATTTTCAGTTCTCCAATTTTCAACAATTTGTATAAAATTTATGGAATTTTTCTTTGCTTGATTAGAGAAATAATGGTGGTTTAGAAGCAAAAAGTAAATGATGAAAACTGAAAAACCTAATACACCCAAATGAAATGAAGGTAAAAAAGGCGACAGGGTGTTTAAAATAGTACCACAACCTTCCCAAAAGCCAAAAAGCTGATAAATAAAAATCTTCTATCTGAAAGCTGATAATTTAAAAGGTAATAATGATTAAATATTACACACCTGTTATTATTAATGGATACTGCACAATTCTTAACAGAATTTTAACTAACGTCGAAGTTTTTTTTCAATTTATTGATCTACCCTTATTGCAGATTCACATATTCCATTTCTATTGAGATGTTTTTACATACGAATATTTAATTGCAATTTTGTCTTTTTCTAAGGAAACTTGAGACAAGAATTTTAAACTATATTCATTCTAAACTTTTATTTTATTTGTTAAAGTTGAAAAACTAGAAGCAGCTAGAAGTTAAAAAAAATAAACACCGACGGCCTTGAAGCATAGACAACAAATAATGTCAAATGGTTGTCATTGTCATAAAAAAAAACTTTTGTAGCTAACTTCGCTTGATTTTTATTGATCTCTGCAACTTGCCGCATAGCCCTGGCAGCTCAGGCCGTATCTTTGCAATCCACGATTCCAATCTGTGGTATAAATATATGTCTATTTTTAAATTTTGAATCCAAATTTTTCAGTTAGGAATACTCGGAAAAATTTTGATTTTTTTTTATAAAAATATAATTATAGATCACATAAATATTTCTGAAATTTGTACTAGAAATTCGAATAAAAATTTAGGCAATTGGTGACATTATCAAAGAATTTACAAAATGTGCGAGCAAAAAGCACGAGATAAAACTTTGCCGGAAACTTTCGTTCCGTGTTTCCACGACGAGAAAGAAGTAAGAAAAATGACTTACAATCCGTTAGGAAATACAGGTTTAAAAGTTAGTAAGATATCCTTAGGCACTAGCGGTTTTTCGAATTTTTATGGGTAATATCGTTGTTTTAAAGCCTCTATTGCTTTGTCTCATCACAATAATTTTATTAAAGCGAACACGACGTCGAAGAATGTAAGAAAGTAGTCTACGAAGCTGTGAGAAGAGGCATTAATCTCATAGACACCGCTCCTTGGTATGGACATGGAGATTCGGAAAAGATTTTAGGCACTGTAAGCAAAATCATTAATATATAGCAAGTTTTGAGTAATTTTACAAAAGTGCTGTCTTTATAGTGTCTAGAAGGAATTCCTAGGAAAGCATACTATTTATCCACCAAATGTTGTCGCTATGAAAAAGATCTTGCCCTTATGTTTGATTTTTCTGCTGAGAGAACCCGGAAAAGTATTGATGAATCTTTAACAAGATTAAAACTAAGTTATGTGGATATTTTACAGGTTTATAATCAGTGCAAGTTGTTAATTAAGTTTGTTATTTATTATCTCTTTTTCTAGGTACACGATATTGAATTTGCTCCGACTTTAGATATGGTATTGAAGGAAACTCTTCCTACAGTTGCAGAAATCTGTAAATCAGGAAAAGCAAGACATGTAGGGATTACCGGTTATCCTCTGAGCACTCTCAAAGAGTGTATTGAAAAAAGCACTGTACATATAGAAACAGTTTTGACTTACTGTAGATCTATGATGACTGACAATACTCTCGATGAGTATATAGATTTTTTCCGGGTAATGTCCATTTAGTATACCTATAAATCTACTTAAAGGAAGAAGGGTAATTTTTCTTTAGTCTAAAAATGTTGGTGTTGTTAATGGAGCTATACATGGAATGGCATTGCTGACTAATGTTGGCGCACCTTCCTGGCATCCAGCAAGTGATGAATTGAAAGCAGTATGTAGAGAAGCGTCTGAATTTTGCCAGGTTTGATATGATTTATTAGTACAAATAATGCGTTCTTCAAGAAGAAAATGAAAATTTTCATTCAAAGAAAGAAAATGTAGAGCTCGGTAAGCTGGCTCTTTATTATAGCATGCAACATGGAGCGGGAGATACTATTTTGGTTGGAACTAAGTCAAAGATGAAGCTGATAAGTTATAATTTAGATGTTCTCCATAATGGACTGTCAACCAAGGAGCAAGAAGTATATGAACAAGTTTTAAAGTATGCTTCCATCGAATAACACTAATTTTTAAGTACCTAAATGATAATTTTTTAAATTTTATTGTAGGATTTTAAAAAAATTGCCTCCAAATAGTAATTGGGAGGATGTTGAGGTGGAGAGATATAGGAGTAAATCGCTTAATTTGTTTGATAATCAATAATTCTATGAATATTTTCATTAGCTAAAAGTGTTTTTATTAGAAATTTTTAATTATCTATTGGCTATAGTTTTTCTTTGGTAGAGTAATTTCGGGTAAGATGGAATACCTTTTTTATTTTTCTTTCAATAATATTAATTTTTTTAATCTCAAATTTTGGAAATAAATAGCTAGTATAGGCTTTTTTTCTTACGAAGAAAACTTTAAAGTTTTCTTCCTTTTTTTCCTTTGGAAGAAAACTTTAAAGTTTTCTTCCAAATTGATAATTTTTCAGATGAAATCCCTCATATTCTACGCACAATATTTTATTTTCTATAAGATATAGTGTTTTAGTGTAGTTTTTGCACACGTGCAGAAAATCCAAAGAAATACCGTATGATCGAATAAAAACGGCGTCAACGATGGCTATGAAATGAAGATCGCTGTCATTCTATATGTAAAATTATATAGGAAATGTCATCGATCGTCATTTCCAAGCCAACTGGACGCCGTTTTTTTTCGATCATACGGTAGTATACAGGCTGGATCAAAGGGAAACTTTTAAATCCAGTCCCTTTTTTTTATCAAGGGTCGATATACGATATGACATACTCTATTTATGGTATGATACCTGTTATTATACCTTCGAGTTTCGATGTTAAAAAATAAAAAAATCATATTTAAAGTTTTTCTACAACCACTTGTTTTTTTTATTAAATTAGTTTTTTTAGTTTTATTGTATACTATATCGTACAAGGACAACTGTATTTTAAATATTATATTTAATTTAACGTTTTTTAAACAGGGTCCATTAGACTATATTTCTACTAGGTACAATTATTTTTAAAGAAAATTAAGAGTAAAAGTAACTTAAACATTCATAAAAATAGAAGTATTTACTGTTGTAGACGACTTTTTTTTACGATGGCTCTAATATGTTTACTTTTAAAGTCGATAAGAGCCATCAGTAGAAGTCCATATCACTAGAAAAAAGAAACAGAATATCTCCCTTCTTGTCGGTCGCGCGTAAACAATGCTTTTTGTTCGGCCTATTTGTTCTGCTTGTTCGTGCGCGCTCGGTTCGTTCGGGCTAAAATGCTCAAGCCTGGACGCACCTTTAGGAACAATACTGTTTTGCGAAACGTGCGTCCATGGTTAAAAGTAGTGTGTTTTGGTGTATTCTGGTGATTGAGTGTTTTATTTTGCTGTTGTAAAACCAAAAGTACCCTACGATATTCTCTCCATGTTTTTCGTAAAAAATTACACGACGCGTCCCATCAATAAAAAATCGACAAATTTGCAAGTAGCCAATAAAAGGAGTGGGCGGAGCGATTTGCGGTGACGTACTCATCAAGTCGACGTATAAAATATATTGCTGTTTATTTAAATGTTTTTTGTCCGCATTCCTTTCATAAACACAGATCCAGCAGACGAACTGTAGGTATTTTTCATTTCAACTAATAGAGAAAGAGGCATTTTAGAATAGCTATATTCTCTTCCTGAAACAAAATTAAAAAGAAAAAAAGACTAGTCTTCAATTTATTATTGATAATTAAGTTATGATAATTTATATATAAAACACTGACATTTTTATTCGATAAATAATTGTTGTAAAATTACTCTGAACATTTTAGGTTATAACAATGTATAAATAAGGATTTGAGATATTATTTTACGAGCAATACATTTAAAAATTATATTCATCACAGAAAAAAAAATATTTTTTTGACAATATTACCATTTATCTTCACAAACGTATATCGTATATACACAATAAGGTAAGATTGAAGTAAATTTATATAGAACTATTTTGATATTTCATTTTAATTTTACAGTAAAATCGGAATAATTAATAATTACTAGGCTTGTCTTTGTTTTTAGAAGTATTGATTTCTTGGTTGCCTAATGTTAAAACACGTTATCTTGGCATCGTTATCTTTGTTTTGAACAAATATGGAAAGTTGAAGAGCCCTTTTGTTAAAATTTATCATTGCATTGCACTTAAAAACCTAAGATAAAGTTTTATTTTTTTGTTGCTGTACGTTCTTCGAATCATTCTTAATTCTTTTCAAATTTTTAAATTGAAAATAAAATGTCCTCTCAAGCATTACCTGAAACTTTCGTGCCAGGATTTCACGACGAAAATGAAGTCAGAAAAATGACTTACATACCCTTAGGAAACACTGGATTAAATGTTAGCAAGATAGCTTTGGGCACTGCAGGATTTTGTTATTTTTATGGGTAATTTTTGTTTTAAAAATAGCACTATACACGTTTCTTATTGACTATACGTATATTTAAGCGACTATGATATAGAGGAATGTAAAAAAACTGTGCACGAAGCCATAAAGAAGGGCATCAATATCATAGATACGGCTCCATGGTATGGGCATGGCGAATCTGAAAAGATTTTGGGTTTGGTGAGTACATATTCGGTCGAAAAAAAACGGCGCCGCAGTAGCCCTTTTCAATTTCATTTCAAAGGTTACTCTGACGCGATTTTTTAACTTTTTTTTTACTTGATGTTCAGTGTTTGGAAGGAATTCCCAGGAAAGCATACTATTTAAACACAAAATGCTGTAGATATGCCAAAGATCCTGCCCTTATGTTTGACTTTTCTGCTGAGAGAACCCGGAGAAGTATCGATGAATCGCTGAAAAGGCTGAAACAAGATTATGTAGATGTTTTACAGGTAGAGTTTATAATAGATTTTTATTATACGGAGTGCCTCATAAATAAGTGAAAGTATTTTAACTGGGAGTATATTTAGACCACAGAAACTAACAAGCCTATAAGGTTTTTTGGATCCGAAAATTAAACAAAAATTGACCTACTGCTTCCGAAATTACAGAAGCTTCTTTATAGAAATTTTTCTGCAATTTTTAGATACATGATATCGAGTTTTCTGAAAATCTCGACCTTGTATTGAAGGAAACACTTCCTACAGTTCAAGAAATCTGCAGAACAGGAAAAGCAAGATATATAGGTATTACTGGTTATCCGTTGAGCGTTCTTAAGGAATGCGTTGAAAGGAGTCATGTACCTATAGATACAGTTCTAACATATTGTAGGTCTACAATGATCGATAACTCTCTGGATGATTATTTGAACTTTTTTCAGGTATTATATATCATATCAACATAATATTTACTTATTAATTAAATAATCTCAAAACAATAATAAAATTACACTTTTAAATAATAGTTAAGAGTGTGACAGTCGATTCTGAAACTTTCTACCACATGTTGAACCCGTTTCATTTTATTATTTTATGAGATAGATGTGTGAAATAATACTTCAGTCTTTTTTATTTCACTGCCTTATTATATTTGGCGCCCAACGTGGGGCGCCAAATATAATGGTCGATTTAAAGAACATACAGGCGGTTTTCAAAATATAAACAATTTTGTATAATATTATTAACTTAAAAATTATATTTAATGCTATTTTGAATCTATTTGAATAGTCCAAAAATCTTGGAATTATTAACGCAGCCGTACAGTCCATGGGTTTGTTAACCAATAACGGTCCAGAACCGTGGCATCCCGCTGATAATACGACAAAAGAAGTTTGTAGAGACGCTGCTGAATATTGCAAGGTATTTTTATTATTTTTTCATGAAATCATGAGTTTATAATCTGTCCAACGTAAGAGAGTTAAGAAAGATTTCGACAGACATCTTTGTTGAACAAACTTATTAGGCTTATTGCACAGATTCTTATATTAATTCTATTAATTCTCTCAATAATACTTGTATTTATTTTTCAAGAAAGAAAATGTAGAGCTTGGCAAGTTGGCTTTCCATTATAGCTTGAAACACGGAGCGGGCGATAGCATTTTGGTTGGAATCAAAACAAGAACACTGTTAAATTACAATTTAGACGTTCTGTATAATGGACTAAATCCAAAGGAACAGGAAGTCTACGCAGAAGTTTTGAAGTATGAATAATGTTTTATATAATATAGGTATAACATTATAGTTTTATTATTACAGAATTTTAAAGAAATTATCACCAAACCGTCACTGGGAAAATGTAGAATTAGAAGTTTAAGAACAAGAAAATCGCCTAAATTTCCTTATTAAATATCTATTACATCTATGTCTATATTATAAAGTTTTATTTTTATATTGTTATAACATTCTTTTTATCCTAATTATATGTATATTTTGGGTTTATAATCTTTGTGTGTTATATCATTTGTTAGGGTTTTTGCTGGGTCTGCTTTATGCTCTTTAAAACCTTCTTTTTCCATTCGTTTTTTGATATTCCTATCATGACGTCTTCTTATTTCCAAAATATCTTTCATTTCTTCTTTGTCTTCATCCTAAGACAACAACCAAAATAAAGTATATATCTAATCGGGATATTTAAAAAAAATTGTGCTTGAATAACACTAAGTTTGTTAAAGCACAACTACCGTCACGTTTGTATACTTACAGATTGATTTAGTCGCAATACTAGTGCTCTTTTACCATCGGACATGGGTTGAGAATAAACCATCAGCTGTTTCAGTCTTTCTGGTGGGCTAACTCCCCTTTCAACCACCAAGACAATTCTAGCCCATTGCCTCTGCCATTCGTTTCTTGTTTCGGCGATCTTCTGATAGGTGTTGCCCATCATAGCTATCAACATGTTGATCAGAAGGATAGCTACTATAGCCATAAATACCACAAACAGTACCTACGAGATAATTAGATACACTTACTTAAACAATATATACAAGATTATTATTTAACGATCAGTTATTTTAAAACTGTCAATAATCGGTATAAAAATAATAGAGTTGCCGCGCCCTGTATCAATCTCATAAAAATAACAGGTATAAAAATAAAAGTGCCCGTTATTTTTATCAAATAACCGGTATAAAAATAACAGTGCTCTGACAACCATCTCTCGTGATGTGAAGTCGGGATAGCTGCTTCACAAAATTCTATCAAACTCACGTAATATTTGTTATTTCCAAAGAAGAACAACATATGTGCCGAAATCAACTGCCCGTGATGAGATATCTATATCGCCATACAACGAGTTTTAGCAAGATCGTAGCGGTTGTTATGACCTGTTATTTTAAGCAGTTATACACATATCCAACTGTTATTTAAGAATAACAGTTCCGCCGACCTCTGATACTGTTAGAATACTACTCTTACTTTAGAAATTATTTGTTTTAATTACTTTTGCCTCATATTCATGTTCTGTTCTGGCAAACGCGTTATAATAATCCCCAAAATTCGTCAACGACATGAGAAACATAGCCATGATGGATTCCGTAGGCGTTGACATAGGGTTGGTGGCGGAATCGTCAACTTCTTCGGGTGTCAACGGATTGTCAAACGATAAAAATATAATGTAATAAGCTGAAAAGAAAGTTTTATAGTTCTCTTTTGTTAATTTTATTATTGTTTTATCTACATTGCGAGAATCCCATAACAAACACGAGGTATATCGAAGCAAAACGCAGAAGATCACCCATGACCATCCTGTATATCATGACAACGAACGGTCCTACTGTTTTGAAGCCTCTGTAACAATTTAAACAAACTATAATTATGAGTAAAAACGAGTACTATGACATCGTTCTTATTCAAGTTTAGTACCTTTCTAACGAAATTCCGCTTACCTACAGAAGAACAAAAAGTATGGCGCAGTTGTTAACATAACTGTTATGGCAACTGTGTCTTCAATTTCATCCAAACATACCAGTCTCAGCCATGGTATCACAGCAAAAACTAGAATGCAGGAAAAAAGGAACATTACCCTGGATGGAGAGGTCCTCTGAAAGATATAAAAAAATATATTTATTTTGCAATATCCATATATTATCTATGTTTTGCTTTTCAAAATCACTATAATAATTTTTTACTTTTTTACCAGATTTTCGAAGAACATTCTCAGACCGAGAAATTTTGCTTCTCTAATGGCTGCTGCTAGGTAGAGAAACGCTCCCAAAGTTATCCCAATTTCAGCAGCAAACCTGATTTGGGATATTGGATGATCCAAGTTCATCAGACGACATTCTTCTTGAAGATTGTCCCACCATTCTTCCACATCATAATCATCGCTATCATCTAAAAAGAACTAGATGTAAAACTAGAACTAGTTTCGCTAACCATGTTATCTTCATCAGCAGATAACTAAAACTGCGAAGATCTTCAAGTTGAGCGTTTATATAGGTGTCCAGTTGGTATTACTGACCAAGTATTGTAAGACTAGCCAAGCCAATCAAAACGAACCGAGTGTAATAATTAATTACCGAGACTAGAGCAATAGGAACGAAAAACTGGAAGGAATTAGACCATTATCTCTGTTCATACTATCTTTACATTTATTTATTTTGACGCTCTCATATGGCATCTAATTGCTGTTTAGAAAAGTGTTTTGGTGTACTGTGGTAAATTATAGTGTTTTATTTTGTATTTGATCATATACCTTTTTTCTCAATTTTTTTCGTTATTATTTGATGAGTTACATTCTCAATTACTGTACTATTGATTATTGAAGACACATTTGCCATTGCTTTTGTGACATTGGTATTTGTTCCATTTTTTGCAGGTTCGGCATGATGCGAAGGCCCAGGTCGTAGTGTAAATGCTAATAATTAATTATTTTGAATATATACAGTAATAAAATAATTATTTTCATCATTACCTATGAGGGAAATAATGAAATAAAACGCAAAAGTAAAAAATTGTCTGTAAAATTTGAACTTGACAAAGGTGTTCCATTTTGCGTTTAGTAAGTCTATCAATACTCCATCCATGAGCTCCAAATGCTCATCTTTATCCTAAGAGAATAATATTTGTAACGTAAAATAGGGTGTGTCCATATACAGGGTGTACCGAATTTTGTAGACCGTTAAACTTTTCGGGACACCCTGTATAGTTAAAAATAAAGAATATTACCCCAAAAACAACCAAATTTAACGCTGAAGTCTTACTGATCTGTCCTGTCTTAACATCAATTGTATCGATTTGTGATAAAGGATATGCAGCGCATGTAATGCTGCCTAAAAAATAGTTTATGTAAAATTTTAAAAGATTAAACGAAAAAATAGTTTTTCCTAACCAATTTGCCAGTAGATCTCCCTTTCTAAGTTCAGTATATGAAAAAATATGTCGATTCTGGCTAATTTTGCTGATAAAGTCAGAGGAGTTAAATTCAGGATATTTCTGATAGATAAACTGGACCCTACTTCGTAGGCCATATCAAAAGCTTCCTAAAATAGAAAGTAAAGAGAAAAAAAGAAGGTATAGTCTGTTCACTGAGAGAATATATGATTTTAACAAACTAAAATCAAAAAGGCGCCTGAAAAATAACACCGCTTCTGAATCTGTCATATAAGTATTCATTCTCTCACTTGACAGACTATAGGTGTTCTTCTCACTTCAAGATAAAGTCAGTCCAATGAGTCGGGGAAGTTTTCGACAGACGACATCCAATAAAAATGACAGAAAACAAAATATAGTCTGGTGTATCCCCTCTTTGGACAGACTTTAAGTGCTTTTAATATTCATACCAGTTTGGAGTAAATGACTAATAAATGCAAAACTGTATTTCCGTTGGTATCCTGTGCATTAGGATCAGCTCCCTTGGCTAGGATTAGTCTGAAACATTCCTCCTGTCCCAAACATGCGGCAAAAGAAAGAGGATATTCACCCCAATATACATATCTATTAAAATATAGAATTATTTACTATTAGAATTGATATTTAATGATGTTTACCCATCATAGTTTGTCTCAGGACAGACATTGACCCACTCATGATCCAGAGAATCTGTCCTTGATGATTTCTGATCTTCTGGACACATAAAATTCCCGAAACATCTTTCTTGAAAGTTTACATCAGCTGCCAACAAAAATTTTACCATAGATGGGTCCTCATTTACTATAGCTATATGTAGAACGTTTTCACCTAAAAAAATAAACATTTATGACTTATCTCTGAAAGCATAGTCTGTCTAGCGAAAGAAGACGTATAGATGACGTATATGACAATGACAGTTGTCTGACTGATCTAATCGATGGGAAGAGGGGTAAAAGATTAGGATTGGTTAGATAAATAATTCTTTTACCGTAGTACTCATCAGAAATATAAATATCGTTGATCAGCTTGGGATAGAATCTCAGCAAACGTTTGGCTATGTCAGCGTGTAAAGATGTGGCATTGAGTAGGCACAGATGTAAGATAGTTTCGCCTACTGCACCACGGTCTCTCAACTTCCAACAGACGTGTCTGTAGAGTGATGGATCTAAAAATGTCACGTTCTAGACCGATATATACAGGGTGTCCCAGAAATAAGTGCAAGTATTTTAAGGGGTGATAGATCTCGATAAAAGAAACATATTTTCTCTTTATTGTTTTTCAAATAAGTCTAAAATAACGGAGTTATTTTACTTTGAAAATTTTCAAAAAAGTATTTTTTGCTAAAATTTTGAGAACCACTGGATGTTTTGTGGATTTTCTTTCTGGTAAATTTAATCTAATACCTATGTTGCCATATTATGAAGGAATTATGTTTTTAACTAAAAACTAAAAAAATTTTCAAAAAATTTCGAATTTTCAAATTTTTGTTTTTCGCGAAAAAAAGCTCATAGGCGTGTTTCTGAGGTTGAACTATACTACCATTAAAATACTTGCATTTATTTTCTGGGACACCCTGTATATACAGTGGGGGCCAAAAGTATGGAAACTTTTTACTTTTTAAAATATCACAGAAAATATTGCTATGCTTAAACTCTCAGGAATATAAATGAACAGCTTATTAGAAAATAAAAGTATTCCAAAAATTACACAGCGAAAAAAATCTGTTTCATCAGTTTTTGTAGGAGAACAATAGATTTCTTGTGGCCAAAAGTATGGAAACCATAAATAAATACATTAAAATTATTTAGTTTAAGCTGATAAAAGGTACGATTTGCATCAGATAAATATAAACATCTTGCCCAAGTCTAAATATTTCTCTACGGATTTAAAAAATAAAATAGTTGAATTATACAAGAGCGGTTATAAACAAATTCAAATAAGTAAAAATTTAAACATTTTAAAAGGCACCGTTTCGAAAATAATTCGTAAATTTAATAAAACAGGGAACGTTTCAACAGCTTTTAAGTCAGGAAGACCAAGAAAGTTGTGCAACAGGACAATGAAAGTAATGAAGAGAATATCAATGGGAGATCCAAAAAAAACATCCACAGACATTTCTCGAGAAATGGGTGAAAGGGGAATATCGGTGCCTGCACGCACGGTGAGAAGAAGGTTGGATGACATGGGACTTTTTGGAAGAGTTGCGGTGAAGAAACCACTAATATCAAAGAAAAATAGGATGGCCCGCTTTAAATTTGCTCAAGATCATCTCACCTGGTCTTATCAGAAATGGAATACTGTACTGTTTAGCGACGAAAGCAAGTTTCAACTGTTTGGTAGTGACGGGAGACGTTATGTCCGAAGACCAAAAGGTACACGGTACAGCCAGAAGTACCAGATGCCCACAGTAAAACATGGGGGTGTTTTTCTCGCTCAGGTGTTGGTCCTCTTGTTAAAATTGATGGGATAATGGACCGTTTTTTGTACAAAGACATATTGGAGAATAATATGCTGCCTCATGCTGATGAAGAAATGCCATTCAGATGGTTGTTCCAGCAAGACAATGATCCCAAGCACAAATCTCGGTTTGTTCAAAATTGGTTAAATGAACATAATGTTCCACTAATGGATTGGCCCTCACAGTATCCGGATCTTAACCCATAGAAAATTTATGGGACCATTTGGATAGCAAAATTCGAAGCCATTCTATTTCAAATAAAAATGAATTATGGGAAGTGCTAAAAACTGAATGGGCGGCCATTTCCAGTAAAGATTGTACGAGATTGATCGATTCGATGCCACGAAGATGTAGAGAAGTAATTAATTTAAAGGGATATTCCACTAAATATTAGTAATTTTTATATTATCTTGAATTTTAATAAACATTCTTCTTAAGTTTCCATACTTTTGACCAAGAAAATATTTATAATTTTTTATATATTTTTTGATAGCTGTAATTTTTTATTTAAATGTATTAGGTTTTGTAGGAAATTATTTGTAGGTCACGATATAAGTCGTTTTATTTCATATTTTAATTTCTCAGCATAAATGACAAATTAAAAAAGTTTCCATACTTTTGGCCACCACTGTACATCAAAAAAATAATGTCAATGCCTAGAGGACGTGTATTAAGTTTTATAAATATAGCTATAATATCATCAAAGTTATTATGAAAAACTACCTTGGATCCACAAAAGTTAAGACGTTTAGGACATACACATTCATATGAGGTTTTGTTCTTAGAATAGGTCTAAGTATCACCCCCTTATGCATGTCATTACGAAACACTCTGTATTTTCAAAAAAAATGAGCATTTTAACTAATACAGCAATAATCGGCATATTTTCAAGGCAAGGCCGTAAGAGTCTCGAATGCTGAGTCACGATCTTGCTAAATCTTGGTCGGTCTTAATCTTTTTGGTCTTGTAGATATAATGGTAGTCAGGGGCGGATACAGAAATTTATTTTAGGGGGGACCCAAATAAAAAATAATGCAAAATATGCCTTTTAGGGCGCCACTTTTAACCCAAAAACCTAATATTTAACCCAATTCACAGATATTAGGAGACGAAGGCGCCACTGATGGTAGTCTTGGCCTTGCTTTTTGTGCCAGACCAAGACCGTAAGACTAGTCATATCTAGTATCGACCAGTAAATATGAATACGAAGTACCGTATGATCGAAAAAAACGGCGTCAAAGACGGCTGGGGAACACAATCAGTGATAACTCTGGCGAGGTCAAGTAAATGACGTCAGTCGTCTTTGACGCCGTTTTTTTTTCGATCGTATGGTATTTAAATGAACTTTATTACAAAAATATACTTTTTAGATATTCCTCTTCGCTGATGTCCGGTCCCTCATCATCAATTTCAAACTCGTCAGGGTTTTCCATGTTTTTTAATTGGGGCAACTACAAAAAAGCACTGAAATTATTGAACCTCATTAATTTTTCTGTCTAGATATACATTACAAGTTTGTGTCTGGCCCGTTCCTTGTTTCTGAGTAGAACTAGCTGTGATATTGGTAGATATCGCCCGGCTCCTTTGTTGTATAAGAATTGTTCTACCTAAATTGACAATATATTTAATCACCCTGTACATGGTGGCGCCTCTCATACGCCGCGGAAGCTCCAAGAAGAACGGCAGTTTATATTGACATGAAATTTTGCCAACATATGTAGGTTAAAAATATATAGAATTATACAGGGTCTCTCCAAAAAAAGTTACACATAAAAGTTTGTTTTTTTCTAATGGAACACCCTATATATTAATTGATTTTTGGATTCTAGGAAAAAAAACTTTCAAAAAAAAGAAAGAATTTTAATCCTAGAAAATAATTCTAAAAAAATAGGACAAAATTGATATGGAACATTAGTCACTTTTAAAAGCAAGTTACTCCTTAAAAATGGAACATATCCTGTATATTATTCCGGTGTTCATTGGGGAATTTATATGTCTTCAAAATATTATTAAGGTTGCCTACCCCTCAGACAAAGATTTTCCTAGATATTTTAATTTTTATGATTTTGCGTCAGTAGATCTTTGTTATTTGAAAAAATCTAGGTGGATGTGTGATATATCTTTTGATAATTTAACAAAAAATTGTAGTTGAGTAAACTACTCAACGGTAATAAAAACATACACGTTTAAAACATATTTTAATTATTGCAGAATTAAAACTTAGCTAGATGAAATCAAATGCTCAAAATGCCTCTTTTCCTGTTAACTGCATAAATATTTTAACTGCCTGTTATTGTCTTTTCAAAAGGATCTTTTCATTTTAAAAGGCATATGTGGAGTTCTACCTCGAAAAGCAGCAATAATAATTTCTCTCATGTTGTCGACAATAGTTGGTCGAATCGTAATAGAGGTCATAATAGAATCATATCAATTCTCTCTGATGTAGGATAAGTTTGCATTTTCGGCAAATTTTTGAGATTTTTTTTGTTTTAACTGACACAAAATGTTAACTACTTGTTAAAGTTGGATTAATTTGGATTAATTAGACAGCTATGTTGAAGTAACGCCTTTGAGGGGTAGGCAACCTTAATAGTATTTTCAAGACACATGAATTCTCCATTGAATATCGGAATAACATACTGGGTGTTCCATTTAAAATAAAAGAGTACAACATACTTTTGAAGGTGACCGATGTTCAATATTAATTTTGTCTCACCCTGTATAACTTTTTGGATCAAGTTTTAATTTGATTAAAGTACAATAGTTAATTTAACTACATATTAGGTTATACCGGGTAAAAATTCCAATTTAGGTAGCTTTTATTGTAATTTAAAAATTGTTCTTTATTTCAAGAAAATGTTAAATATGTCAAAAACCTTACATTTTAGTCATATACTTCTCTTACAAAAGTCACCTTTATTTTTCTCCCAGAATCCGAAAATCAATTAATATATAGGGTGTTCCATTACAAAAAACACAACTTTGATATGTAACTTTTCTGGGGGAAACCCTGTAGAACTCTATATTTTTACAAAGTGTTCTGAATTAACCTACATATGTGCTCACAAAATTTCATTTCAATACAAACTCTAGTCTCTTTGGAGCCTTCGCGGCGTATGAGAGGCGCCACCCTGTATATTAAGGTATTTCTTAATGTGATTCAGTGGCGAGACGTGTTTCAATTTATATCTTCATAATATGTCAACATAAGTAGTAAGTTAAATTTACCAGAAAGAAAACTCAGAAAAGATACAGTGGTTCCCAAAATTTACATCAAAAATAATTTTTTTCTTAAATTCTCAAAGTAAAAAAGAGAGAGAGTTATTTGAAAAACGGCAAAAAGAAAACATGTTTCTTTTATCAAGATCTACCAGCCCTGAAAATATTTGCACTTATTTAAGACTCACCCGTCCAAATGTGCAACTTAATTCTTGCTTAAGGTAGTATCAGACATAACTACTTTTGTTGCGCAGCACATTAAAAAACTGCGCAACTTGATCTGCTGCAAGTGTGAATACCTAGGCAACCTGCAACGTTGCGATCGCAGCCTGGTTGCGCAGGCTACTTTTTTGTTGCGCGCAGTTTAAGAAATAGCCGTGTGTGAACAGTTGCTGAGGAAGGTTGCAAGTTTAGCAAAAGATGACTAATCAGTTGAAACTTTTACTGCGGACAACGGTGCAGTATTCTGTTGGTATGCTCGAAATGTATGCACTTTTCTTCAGTTAACTCCAGGATTTATATTTAGTAAATAATTAACCGACAAATTGCGACGTCGTCGAAGTAAAAACAAGCGATTTGGAATAGAGAACAAGTAAAATGTTTAATAGAAGCGGTAGAAGCAAGGACGTGTTTATGGAACGTAAAAAGTCCATTGTATCACAACCAAACGAAAAGACTATTTAGACTTTTTGTTATTAGGCAGCTGCTGCCTAAAAACTGCGCGTTTTGGACTACTTTCTGCTGGTGTATGAACACTGTATGCAACAAAAGTAGCTGTGTCTGATACTACCTTTAAACTTACCTTTGTTTTGATGGCATGATCGATTTCGGCATACTGCTTGTTCTGAGTAGCTCTTTTCATCAATTCCACTAACAAACCACCTCCTTTTAAATCACAGAGTTTATAAATGGGCTGAACAGAAGCCCCTGCTTGTTTTTTAACACCACTGGTAACGTTGCTTTCTGTATTACCCATGCTTTCTTAAATTTTATCAAGATTACTGTATAATCTATTTATGTGAAGATTTTAAAACGCTTTGGAAGTATATCTATATCTTACTAGTTATTGATCAAACTTTAGTCATTATTTGATCAATACGTAAAATTTTAAATAGTATTAATCAGTAGAATTTCGTGAAGATTTCTGAAAGTATATACAGGGTCGCTGTTATGTATGGAAACGGTCGATTATTAGGTAAAATATATAGGAGGTACCGCAAAAAGTTATAGGGTTTATAAATATCTATTAGCGGCTAATAAATTTAAGTATACAGGGTCGGTCATAAAGTCGTGGCACATCAAAGTTTCATTTTTTTTAAATGGAACCCCCCGTATATTATTGCATATTTCGGTTCTTCCTGCAATTCTAAGTAAAAATCGAAATACACACAATGTACCTCAAACCAACCGTTTCCGAGTAATTGACTTTTGAAAATATCACTTAAACAATTTGATTTAATTAAAAAAATTTTGTTTAACATTTCAATTCTTCAAATTATGTACAGTGGTGGCCAAAAGTATGGAAACTTTTTTAATTTGTCATTTATGCTGAGAAATTAAAATATGAAATAAAACGACTTATATAATCGTGACCTACAAATAATTTCCTACAAAACCTAATACATTTAAATCAAAAATTACAGCTATCAAAAAATATATAAAAAATTATAAATATTTTCTTGGTCAAAAGTATGGAAACTTAAGAAGAATGTTTATTAAAATTCAAGATAATATAAAAATTACTAATATTTAGTGGAATATCCCTTTGAATTAATTACTTCTCTACATCTTCGTGGCATCGAATCGATCAATCTCGTACAATCTTTACTGGAAATGGCCGCCCATTCAGTTTTTAGCACTTCCCATAATTCATTTTTATTTGAAATAGAATGGCTTCGAATTTTCCTATCCAAATGGTCCCATAAATTTTCTATGGCGTTAAGATCCGGAGACTGTGAGGGCCAATCCATTAGTGGAACATTATGTTCATTTAACCAATTTTGAACAAACTGAGATTTGTGCTTGGGATCATTGTCTTGCTGGAACAACCATCTGAGTGGCATTTCTTCATCAGCATGAGGCAGCATATTATTATCCAATATGTCTTTGTACAAAAAACGGTCCATTATCCAACCTGAGCGAGAGGACCAACACCTGAGCGAGAAAAACACCCCCACACCATTATACTCCCACCCCCATGTTTTACTGTGAGCATCTGGTACTTATGGCTGTACCGTGTACCTTTTGGTCTTCGGATATAACGTCTCCCGTCACCACCAAACAGCTGAAACTTGCTTTCGTCGCTAAACAGTACAGTATTCCATTTCTGATAAGACCAGGTGAGATGATCTTGAGCAAATTTAAAGCGGGCCATCCTATTTTTCTTTGATATTAGTGGTTTCTTCACCGCAACTCTTCCAAAAAGTCCCATGTCATCCAACCTTCTTCTCGCCATGCGTGCAGACACCGATATTCCCCTTTCGCCCATTTCTCGAGAAATGTCTGTGGATGTTTTTCTTGGATCTCCCATTGATATTCTCTTCATTACTTTCATTGTCCTGTTGCACAACTTTCTTGGTCTTCCTGACTTAAAAGCTGTTGAAACGTTCCCTGTTTTATTAAATTTACGAATTATTTTCGAAACGGTGCTTCTTAAAATGTTTAAATTTTTACTTATTTGAATTTGTTTATAACCGCTCTTGTATAATTCAACTATTTTATTTTTTAAATCCGTAGAGAAATATTTAGACTTGGGCATGATGTTTATATTTATCTGAAGTAAGTCGTACCGTTTATCAGCTTAAACTAAATAATTTTAATGTATTTATTTATGGTTTCCATACTTTTAGCCACAAGAAATCTATTGTTCTCCTACAAAAACTGCTAAACAGATTTTTTTCGCTGTGTAATTTTTGGAATACTTTTATTTGCTGATAAGCTGTTCATTTATATTCCTGAGAGTTTAAGCATAGCAATATTTTCTGTGATATTTTAAAAAGTAAAAAGTTTCCATACTTTTGGCCACCACTGTACATTGTGTATTACGATTATTGCTTAAAATTGAAGGAAGAATTGAAATATGCAATAATATACAGGGGGTTTCATTTAAAAAGTAAAGTTTGATGTGCCACAACTTTATGACCGACTCTGTATACTTAAATTTACTAGTAGCTAATAAGAATTTACAAACCCATCACAACAGTACCACTGTTTTGGCAGAATTGCATCATTAAATCAAACCAACACATTGAAATGAATTAAATCAAATTGTTCAAGTGATATTTTCAAAAGTCAATAACTCGAAAACGGTTGCTTTGAGGTACATTGTGTGTATTTAGATTTTTGCTTAGAATTGAAGGAAGAATTGAAATATTTAATAATATACAGGGTGTTCTATTTAAAAAAATGAAACTTTGAAGTGCCACGACTTTATGAACGACCCTGTATACTTAAATTTATTACTCGCTAATAGACATTTAAAAATCCTATAACTTTGGTATTTAACTTTTTGCGGTACCTTGTATATTTTACCTAATAATCGGCCGTTTCCATACATAAAAGCGACCCTGTATATTTCATCAATAATCAACATCACAGTATGATAAAAAAACGGCGTCCAGTTGGCTTAGAAATGAATATTGATGACAGTCCCCATATAATTTTACATATAAAATGACAGCGATCTTCATTTCATAGCCATCGCTGACGCCGTTTTTTTTTTCGATCATATTGTATTTTTAGACATTTAGGATTTTTTGATAATTTTTTATCCTCCATGCGTCAAATCGACCTACTACACAAATTGTTAGAAATGAAACACCTAAATAAAATTTAAAATCGTATATTCCGTATATCAAGTTAAAATTAAAACAACTGTAACTGACAAAACTGTATTAAACAATAAACGTAAGATTCTTACAAAAATAAAATTGAACTTAATAATTAAACAAAAATAACACAGTTAAAAAAAGTTCGCTCATTGTATATTTTTCCTTTTTATATATTTATATATTTTCAATTTTTCACACAAATTCCTCATTTCTTTCCTTTTGTTTTCGAGGCTTTATTGGGTCTACTCGATGAAGCTTTTCCCCTAGGGTTTCTAGGATTAGCTGTTGCCGGTTGAGCTTTTGCCGCTTGATTTTTCCTTGCCTAAAACACGATACTCCTTATAGTTCAGCCATTGGGGATTTTTGCTTGGAAAAAAGTCCGGAAGTTTTGAAACTTTGCAGGTTTATAGGTTTTGGGATCCCTAACTAAAATCCATAAAATGCACATTTCCAGACTTGCCGCCGGCGCACAGTGCTTCGTCCCATGGACAAAAATCAAAAAATAAGTTAAAATTTACTAATATCTGAATATATAATTTTATACTTATAGCAATGTTCAACCATCCTGTATATTATTTTTCATAAACAGCGTTTCTGTTAGCAAATATTTTCACTAAAAATACATTTTGCGATCATTATCTCATCAGTGAAAAGAATAACATTCATAGTAGTTCTGTATATTATGGAGTTAAACGGGTACGTACTTAATTGAAAGCCACTATGGATATTGTTAAACAAGGTATGTACTTTAAATTTATTTCTAAACAAGTTCGTGATTGTTTAGTTTTTATTTATTTTTAAGATGATTCTTAAATGGGTATAAAAATTTTACGTTTTCAAACTTCAAAAAGGCATTTAAAAAAAAACATATTAAAACATATCGTATTTATTGAATATTTTTGTTGCCATATTCATACACTTTTATTTTTTGTATAGTTCACCTGCGTCTGCTTGCGACGAACTTTATTTTATAATACTTTTCAGATGGAGTAAAATTGATAAGCAATGCCGATCTGGCTAATACTTGGCTTGATCATAAAGACAAGAACTCAAAATTATTTGTATTTCAAAAAATATGTTCTTATTAGATATTGATGAACCTTCCAGTCAAATGAGACACCACTGGTGCCTGAAAAAGTCCACTATGTTGGAGCGAAACGTCGCATAAAAAAAGTGTCCATCTTTCAATTTATTATATAATCTCATACCCAAGAAAAGGAAAAAATAATATATGGATATGCTGTATTAAAGAGGTAACTATTAACATCCGAACCCCTCATAGCGACAAAATGAACAGTAACAACGCGAAAAAGTAACATATTAGAAAATGATGTACAGAAATATCTTATATGTGAGGATACTTCATCTACCTGATTTGGATACTATAAATTTGGAAGATTCTGTCAGCAGTAATTCTTCTGAATCAAAGTAGTTACGATCTATGCATTTTGTTGTCCTAAAGTAAATTTATAGTATCTTAAGTTTTTTTTTTAATTAAATATAACATTAATGTTTCTTTTTCATTAAACAAAAACATTTTTATCTTATCTTACGTATTAGGCTTATATTGTAGGAATCATGTTCTAATGTTATTTCAATTCTTTTTTATCACAGGAATTTATTTAATACTTACACCGTTTTCATACTATAACTTATTATTTGCTTAGATGGAACACAGCTCCAACATTATTATTATTTATAAGATTTTTTTTTCATAAACGTGATACTAAGAACATCATCATTTAGTACAATCAGAGTACTCATCATTTGTGTCAAATAAACCTAGTTTGAATAAATAGCCTACAATAAAAGAGAAGTTTTGCATTTTTGTCCTCTAGAGCCATATGTTCGAAGCAGTGTGCGGCGTCGCCATCTTGCCAAGATGGGGCCCAAAATCGGTATTTTGTAAATATCCCGAAAACTATGCGTTTTTCAAAAATTTGAGGAGAACACAATTAAAGAGAATAAAATTTCCTATAAAAAAGGTTCTATGAAAATGTTCAATTTACAGGATAAAAATGCCAATAGGGACTTTGGAGCTGGATCTAACTTGTGAATGGAGAAATGCCTGTTTTTGTTTTCTTCCAACCCCATTTTTCGGCATCTTTGGTACAACCAGACCAATGCTGAACTTGGTGGTAAGTTCGCAATGAATGCTGTCCAGCACCACAATTAATTATTCATAAATTAATGAGCGAATTAATGATATGCCACTGTTTCATGACAAAATTGAAGAAACTAAACTAAAACTAGTTTTAGTGAACCCTATTCGACATTTGACTTCGGAAAATCGACTATACATATATCTTTACGCAAAATTGTATAATTTCCAGGGATTTTGTGCCTAAACGGTTGAGTTTAGCGAAAATTTTCATAAAACCTTTTTTACAGGAAATTTTATTCTCTTTAATTTTTGCGAAAAACGCATAGTTTTCCAGATATTTACAAAATACCGATTTTGGGCGCCATCTTAGCAAGATGGCGGCGCCGGCGGCAAGTCTGGACACGTGTATTTTACGGATTTTAGTTAGCCAAACCAAAAACCTATAAACCTACAAAATTTCAAAACTTCCGGACTTTTTTCCAAGCAGGCCCCTTTTTTGATCCCCAGTGACTGAAATATTACAGAATGTCCATCCAGATTTAATGTTTGGGTAGCGATCGTTCAACGTCACGTCATGTATTGTCGAACTCTCTCTTTCACTTGACAACCAGATGAAAGAGATTGGTGACGTCATTATGCATTTCGTGAGTTACTGCTACACACTATTATTAGTAATTGTCATTGTCATATGATTTGAGGTTATAATTTTATTGACAGACATCGATCAATGTCAAAAATAAAATTTGAAAAAAACGAGATTTGGTATGTTAGTATATGACATTAATTAGGATTAATTGACGCATTCAGTTGTTTTCGGTCACTTCCTGTTTCACCGGAAACGACTACAACTTTTGATTTTTAAATGGAACCCTCGGTATTTTTTTTACTTTATTCGATAGGAAATTACACTCGGTATAAAATGATGTATCACATGTCAACTTTTGACGTTTTTCATATGGTTTATTTGAAATTGTAACAAGCGGTTCATAACGACAATTTGACTCGAAATACCAAGTGTGTGTAATACCAAATTATTCGTAAAAAAATGCTTTTTCCAAGTATGTTAATGAGCCACCCTCGTTCCAGTTGAAAAAATTGAGATATGATTAAAAAATACGATTTGGGCATCTTTTAACCGGCCCGGACAAAACATGAAAAACATTAGATGATCAAATCTATTTTTCCAAGGCCCTCCATTAAAAATTACTAGATGTTATTATAGATTTAAATTTAAAATACGATTTTATTTTAAGCGAGAATATCAAAAGCTGGCATATAAACTATTTGTGGTATTCTACACTAAACATTATAATTAAACTTAATAAAATTAATCTAATTTTACACTACAACCACTACAAAGAAATAAGAACATTTTTTAAAACTAGAAGAAACAGAACTTCGATACGTGCGACCAGTATAATAGATCAAGCGGACAAAGAATATAAAATACTTTAAAAATGTGCATTCAGAAAGAAAAAAATATCTCGAAAATTATCTAAACAAACATTTTTTTTTCTTATCAGTGAAAAGCATCGGCCTCGTCGGCCTTGCGGAATTTGTCGGGTATTTACAATGGTCGAATTGTATAATTACCAGCTTTTATAGCATATCTAATAGACAAAAAGTATCTGGTCGATTAGTAACCAATTGGCACAGTCCGAAAATTATCGATTTTTATTTTCTCTGTTTTTATTGGTCGCTTCAAAATTCAGAGCAACAAAAAATATTTTTCTGTAGTAAAAGACCGTGAAATACGCCCCGCCATCTGGTGCTTTACATCCATAAACGTCTTAGGTTGAGCTACTTTAAAAATCCATATACAAGGGTATTAGTCAGAGTGTAAAATACTCACTGCAGATCAAAATGTCGGTAAGAATTTGGAAAAGTACAACCATTTCAAAAAAAATATAAAACATACATATTTCCTGACAACGATTATTATTATAGATTCTCGGGAATGAAGATATATAGTCTCTATATCAAGGCTCTAAAAGAAAAATAAAAAAATACCCATAAAGAATTTTTTTTGGAGAAATATAAACTCATCTCAGACACGCCCTAAAAAGCATAGTTTTCCAATAATGATAACGGAACGTTGAAAAAAAAAAAAAGACAAAATACGTACTCTGACCATATTGTCTCCGGCGAAAACGTCTTCACATTCGTCTTGGTCTGAATCTTCGACAAGTTCTTCTCTTCCATAGTAGTGATCCTCCGTTGGCATACTTTGCCTCTTCGACGCGGCCGGTGGAGCAAAACTGAGTACCATTGATTTGTTGTACTGCCTTGTTAAAGCTGCTTTAACCTGGTGATGAAATAAATCGTTTGTATTTCTCTAATATGTACAGGGTGTCCCACTAAGAATAGCTTTCGGCTGTATCTCGGAAAGTATTAGCCGTAGGGGCTGCGGAAAAAAATATTTTTAACTAAAGAGGCTATGGGAAATTGCTGGAAATTATTTTCAAGTTTGTAGAATGACCGCTAGGGGGCGCAACTGCAACAAAAAATAAAAAAATGGAGTTTTTACAAATTTTGCCTAGATAAGGTGTATTATAAGTAATAGCTTCATAATCTTCAGTAAATTTTGAATATTTTTTGTTAGAACCATTTTCCTCTATCTACCAAAATAAAGTGGTGGGGGAAGGTTAGATCTGTTTTTATTTAAATATTAATAACTCTGGACTGGATGATCGGAATCCAACAAGCGAGGGCTCGTTTAAAGAGCTGTTTTCTTACTCTATATTGTACCATATAAACAATAATAATAAGCTTTTGAACATAGACGCTAGAGGGCGTTGTTTTACAATTTAACATAACATTGCAGCGTTTTTCTCAAAAAATTAAATTGCAATAGTATATGTAATTTTAGCTGATAGTAAAGAGTAGAAAGCTTAAAAGTCAGCTGAAAACCGCATCTTGATATCTTCTTTCAAACCGAAGATATTAGCAGAATTATGTAATAAATGTACAAAATAAGCCCTTAATTACCTTATGTTTACAATACGGTATCAGTAGCCCTCTTGATTATGCCCATTCTAACAAAAAATAAGATAAAAACAGTTAGTTTATTTTAAAATCGACGAAATACCAGAATACCATAATACCAGATGTATTAATATCTAATAATTAAGATTTTAATAACAGTGAACAAGAAACGATGATTCAGTGAAGTAAAATGGTAGGCTTTGGAAAAAAGTTGCTTTTGACGTAATAGTATAAACATCAAATTGTTATTAGATCAACATTTTGATAGCCTTAGCAGCGTTTTTTATTGCTTTTATTATTTGAAGTAGTTGAAGTTGTTGGCATTTTGAAAAAGCAATAAAAATCTGCGGTCATCAAAAAAAGACTATCAAAATGTTGATCTAATAACAATTTGACGTTTATACTATTACGTCAAAAGCAACTTTTTTCCAAAGCCTACCATTACTTCATTGAATCATCGTTTCTTGTCCACTGTTATTAATATCTTAATTATTAGATACTAATACCTCTGGTATTATGGTATTCTGGTATTTCGTCGATTTTAAAATAAACTAACTGTTTCTATCTTATTTTTTGTTAGAATGGGTATAATCAAGAGGGCTACTGATACTCTGTTGTAAAAATAAGGTAATTAAAGGCTTATTTTTTGGTATTTATTATAATTTTGCTAATATATTCGGTTTGAAAGAAGATATCAAGATGCGGTTTTCGCTGACTTTTTAAACTTTTTCTACTCTTTCCGATCAGCTAAAATTACATATACTATTGTATTTAATTTTTTTGAATAAACGCGCAATGTTTGTTAAATTGTAAGACAACGCCCCCTAGCGTCTATGTTCAAAAGCTTATTATTATTGTTTATATGGTACAATATAGAGTAAGAAACGCTCTTTTAAACGAGCCCTCGCTTGTTGGATTCCGATCATCCAGTCCAGAGTTATTAATGTTTAAATAAAAACAGATCTAACCTTCCCCCACCACTTTATTTTGGTAGATAGGGGAAAATGGCTCTAACAAAAAATATTCAAAATTTACTGAAGATTAAGAAGCTATTACTTATAGTACACCTTATCTAGGCAAAATTGTGTAAAAAATCCATTTTCTTATTTTTTGTTGCAGTTGCGCCCCCTAGCGGTCGTTTTGCGAACTTGAAAATAATTTCCAGCAATTTCACATAGCCTCTTTAGTCAAAAATATTTTTTTCCGCAGTCCCTACGGCTAATACTTTCCGAGATACAGCCGAGAGCTATTCTTAGTGGGACACCCTGTACAGGGTGGGTCAAATTCGACGCTTTTAAATGGAAACACCCTTTTCTATAGGAGATAGACGAAAACTAATATCGGTGTCTGGAGCTCAATTTTTGTCAAAAACATGTTAGTGAAAACCGCATATCGATATCTGTTACCGTTTCGGAGTTACGGGGTGTTTTTCAAAAATCTGCACTTTTAACAAATCGCTGTAACTTTTTTGTTATGGAAAATTTTGTATTTTTATGAAAAAATTTCCAAATCACCTTTTTACGTAGAATTTAATGGTTTAAGTATAATTTTTTTAAAATTAATAATTTAAGATTTTTTATATGGGACACCCTGTCTATTTTTAATTTATTGAAAAGAATTTAAAATTACCTTTCCAAAAATATAACACACTTGATATTTTGCTCGATTCCTCTTCGAGATATAGAGTATATAAAAAATCGCCCGCTTTAAATGAGCAGGCTTTGAACGGCACCGACTGTAATGCAAAAAATCTAGCTGTGAGCATCAATTAAAACGAAAATAATATTTGCTATGAGAGATGCAGAATTTTATAACTATTTAAAATATATTTAATCAACATCAACACACACATTTAAACTATATCTAATAACAAGAAAAATAAATAGCAAACCAAGACATGAGATTTTGCTATAGGTGTTCGACATATCGATCGTCTTCTGTTATGGACAGACGGGGCAGTTTTTGAACATTTCTCGCGAAATTCATTAACTCAGTGGTGGTGAATGATACCCTCTCATAACTGCTAAGTATTTCTAATTCTTGTCTAGATTATACCGAAGAATAAGGAACCTTTATTTTGCCGCAAATATATCGATAGGATTAGATTCATGGGCACTAAGTCAGGCGGCCTCGACGGCCAACGGCTGGAATCTTGGTTGGCTATTCAATTATTCTTGTATTCAATAATTCTTCTATCGTCTCAAGTCAATCCCTATCCGCCCTTAACTGGAAAATCTACATATTTTTCCTTGATGGAAAATATTTTTTTGTAATCTTGGAAAATTTGTAAAAAAATATAAATAAAATTTATAATATTTTAAGCTATAATTATGTAATAATAATTTATATTGTATCATAATATCGTTTTACTACTATAATTCTAAGAATTAGGAAATGTAATAATTGTGATGAAATTAATCATTTGTATTTCTCTAATATGTATATTATATGTTAAATATATTTGTTACTTATGTTTACAGTAAAATGGAGGGTATGTACATATTTGTAGATTTTTTTTTAATTTGAACACTCAACCACAATGTGGCACTTATTTCATCTTGTCGATAAACGCCGCCGTGATCTCGAACCTTTAACAGGGATATGGCGTTGTCAGACTTCGTTTTTTTTCTAGGATGCATTGTTGCCTTTTGTAAAAAATGTGTTCCTAATCGAAATAAACTTAATCTGTGACTCAGTTAAGCAGTTTTATTTAGTATGTCAGATTTGAGATAACATTTTTTTTTCTAAAACTATGCAAGATGGCGATTTTTTACAAGAGTACTTATTTTTGTTTATTTCATGTCCCCTAACGGACAAACGTAGCACATTTGTATAGAGGTGAATTGTGTTCAATTAACTTATTTCGATCCAAAGATATGTAGTAGTTCTATGACCGCGGAATATTAGGACACCCCGTATAATATTCATGCAATTTACTCATATTCAGTTCAAAATTCAAAATATTCCATCGTGGACAATTCATCTGCCTGGTCTGTATTTTAATGCCATGCGATAAATATAAATGACCAGTTGACAGACTGAGAGACAAAATAAAAAGCGGCATACAGTGTTGCCGGTTTTTACGCGTGTTGGAAAATCTGTATAGAAACAAATAAACTATTTTAAAAACTTTCATGTATACTACTGAAATGAAGATAATATATCTAAGCTAAATATAATCTATTACAGCTGTAGTAAAATGAGTAACTAATTGTAAAAAATAAAATTCCGGCCCTATATGCAACATTTTTCGTAAACGCCTACTTGTGCGGTTTGAAATTTTGATGCAAAATCCGGCAATACCGCATAGAAGAAATGTATTAACCCAACTTTTACCTCTTTTTAATACATTTCATTTTCTATTAAGCCGTCTACATCACTGTTTTACTCGTTAAAACCCAGACCGCGCAGTTTCGATGATTAGGTCGGTATATGAATCACCCTGTATACTGATTGTACGCAGTTATTAAAACTTTTCAGAACACTATGATTGAACCAATAAAAGTTAATAGGTAACGTTTTTAATCCAACAATGACACTTGTTGATAAATAATCTATGGTGAATGTCATCGATCGTCCTTTGTAAGCCAACCATAGATAAAGGAAATAAATTTAGATTGGAAAGCCTGTCAAAATATATAATTGTTTTGGGTCGCGACCGTTGTACGCGATCTTACGCGTTAAAAATACCGAAAAGTGCTTCAAGCGTCTATTCTCAAAGTAATTATTGCTATCTTGTGAGTTTAATTTAAATTTTACTTACTCAAACCCGTGATAATTGTGAAAAAGTGGCATTAAAAACTAAAAAACTGTGTTGTGAACTGTGAACTGAAAAAACCATCGTGGATCGTGGCATAACGTCGGTTGCCAATGTTTCAAGGTATTTCTTGTATGCAACACACTGTATTTTATTTATAAAATTAAAAGAAAATAATAATAAATTTGAATAAATAATATTTGGCGACATAATTTCGGAAAAAGCCGAACCGATCCGAAGTTATCGAAAGCTTTGCGTCGCGACCGTTGCAAGAATAGCGCCAAATAGTGTTTACATTGTCCTTATCGGCACTTTCCAATCTAAACTTGTTTTATTTATCCATGAAGCCAACTTGAGGTCGTTTTTTTTATTATCATACAGATACTAACCTTGCTATCAATGCTAGTAAAGGCGTTAGGTTGGTCGAAACAAGCCATCAACTCACACAAACTGACTAAGTCGTCTTTTAAAAGATAATAAGACTTCATTATATCAATGGTATCCTTTACTCCATCCATTCCCTTATACTTCAGCGGTTTAATCAATAAATCCTTCAATGAGTCGGCATAATCTAACCTCAAAGACATCTTATCACCCGACACACTAAAAAAAACGGATTCAAAATTCCCAAAAATTCGAAAAAAAAATATATTTTTTACCTCATTCGAGTATGGGAGCATAGTTCGCTGATCACGCGCAAACTTTTAGTCCTCTGAGAATTTTTACCCAACCATCCTGGGAAATTGGTCTTGCTCAGAGTTCCCGACATGTAATGGCTGGGCAGCACGGTGGTGTAGAAAGCTTGGCTTTCTAGCAGCGACCAATTGTTGGTGCTTCTTATTTTGGATTCGACCATGTCGGCCATGCTTAGGGAATCGGCCGTTAAGCTTTTCCTGATCAAAACTTCTAGATCTCTCTTACCTTGAGGTCTAAAATCAAACGTATTTACTTTTATTAAGTCCATTCAAATCCTATTACAATTATTTAATTTCAACCATCGAGTAAAAAGACTAATGAAGAAGTCTGATACTATTTTTATATTCATGCATTAGAAATTAATCTAGCTTCATAACTTCATAAAAATTTAAGCACTAGTTGATTAAAAAAAATACCATTAATATTGCAAATTGTAATTTATCCTCTCATAGTATATGCCTATTTATTTTTTGATTATGTAACGGACACTTTGTTTACTCGCTTGTTTCGTCGATCTGCTTGAATCTATTTTTTCTTTTGATCAAATTCGTTTGACAAGTTGTGAAGCTATAAAATGTTGTTTCGGGAGAGTTGACTATCCGGGAAAGTTGAGTTATTGAATGTTACTGCAACCAACAACCACGTAATTACGCCTTCCTTTACGCTTTAACATTTTTTCAGCAATTTTGTTAACATTTGCAATTCTCACAACACAATGCGACGCATATAAAATACATACAAGTTATAATCATTTATTTATTAAGCAGATAAGTCAAACTGACGTATCTAAATTTTTTGTCATCTAATCTTTAACAAGTAGTAAATAAAAGCAAAAATGCAAGAAAAAGTATATAATTAGTTGTGAATTTCATAAATGATCGGTTTACTACACGTATGTATACAGGTTGTTGAGCTTGTTAACTGGACAGTTACTTATAGGGGAATAGAATGGCAATACTGCCTATCGAGAACGCATGCACTTATAGGGTTTTGTGCCGACTCGTCCCGTCGCGTCATCTATCGACGAGCGGGCCGAGGATATTTCAACCATAAAGCTCTTGCCGCGAGTAATAAACAATGTTAACAACCTGTATTATACACTGCTGGCAAAGGAACATTAGCAATAAGAGGTTTAAAAACGAAAAGTAACATACAAAACTTTTAAATCATTTCTAAAATAGCAAGTGCAATTCTATGAAATGGCAATACCGTACGATCTTCCGAGCAGTCGCCCCGACACCGTCGGTCGGCGGCGGCGGCGGTGACAAAGGAATTAGGCCGAATTTTTTTTATAAGAAGTAGCCGAACAGGGTTGCCGGGTTTGTTAGATTATAATTCCATACGAGATCAAAATTCTCAGTAGATCTTCAACAAAAATCAAAAGTACAGAAACAAAATAAAATATAATATTTAAGTCCAAAATTAGCATTCATATGTGTCGTAATAATAGATCACTCAAATAAAATACAAATATAATAAATATAACAAGAATTAGAAATAGCTAGATATATTATTTGATATTAAAAAAAAATTGAATTAAATAATATTAATATATTAATAAAAACATATAAAATTATAAGAAGTAGGGATAGCAGTCACAAATTAGTGTAGCAGTCACTTTTTACCTTTGTACAAATTTTGACCAGTGTGATATCTAAAATTAATTTCATTTCAATGGGAAAGCTGTAGCAACTCTCAACTCTTTTTTCATATTAATATATTTTTTTGACAGGAAAATCACTAAAATATTAGTCCGAATTTAGGTTGTTTCTTAACTTAAATTTTGTTTTTTGTTTACATTTTTTTGGGGAAAATATGGGTTCAACTTTAGTAGATGAATGAAACAAAATCTTTTCAAAAGATATCAACTTCTTCGGGCATTTCGCCAATACCGCGTCTAATAAGGAGTAATAAGGATTTTTAGGAGTATCTCTGTAACTCTGCAACTAGACAGAACGATGACCTGTATGTGTGTTATTACTAAATAAAATTTAATGAAACAATAATAAAAACAGATTATACAGATTCCAACGCGGCAGTCGGTTAATTTTTAGTCAAATAAGTCAGCTTTTTAAAAGTGCTTCTATTGTAAAAACTAAAGACGCGGTTGAACATATCGTTAGATTTTTCTTTAAATCGGTAGATCGGTAGCTTACAGACGAAACCGGTAGACCTGGCAACTCTGTGATGAACTGACGGGAGACGGAATAGCGAGTTGCGGAGGCGCGGGAAGGGAAATAAAATAATGGCGATAAATAAAGGGCAGGGGGATGGGTATCATGAGTGGATGGGTGGTAGCGGAATTTCCAAAATTTGTTATCTTATTGGAGTTTGTCTAAGTAGACAGTCGTAGTGGAAGTGGAAACGGGAAAGTTGTTGTCCATCTCTGTTTAAGCATAGACTTTTTATAGGCGTTTCATTCCAATGCATGTAATTCCTATGCCTAGAGATCAATTGCCGGGTCTGTATAGTCACTTACTAGCGAAAGATATTCCATTATTTCCTTCGATTTTTGAGCGAGATCTACCGCACGTTACACAACCGACTATTTTACAGTCTTTTTCGACAAATCGCAATAGTGTCACTGTTAATTTAAGTTCTGCCACAATTTCCTTCTAGATTTACTACCTTTAAACAACTATCAGAAGTAGAATAAATAATAAATAACATAAAATAAGCTCAGTAAAGACTGACAAATCCACAAAATTTCAAATCAAATTCAAATGTGTCAAATGCATCGTCAAACAGAACTGTCAAGAACCCCCACCCTAGAGTCCTCTTTCCGTCGACCACGCATGAATACATGGATAGCATTATACTCCTTCCTTTATCTTTTTATTCAAAGGTTCCATTATTATAATATCACACTAAATGGGTAAATTTCGCTATATTAACTTACCCAGTACAGTCCGGTTGTGCTTGCAAGTAGTTCTCCTGCACAAACAAAGGCCCTATACTATAATCGTAGAAGAAGAGTCTGGATTTGTCGACGATATTCATATCTTTATTTTCGGCGGTGGTGAAGACCTTTCTTACAACGTCCCAGGGACCGTGAACGACATCTTTACGCGAATTTTTCGACTCTTTTTCCACCATTTCCGATGAAAGATTTTTCTCGTCCACCGACCACATGGAGAGGTGGTTCAGGATTTGTCTAATGTCACCTCCCGTGCCTACTATGAGTTGGGACAATGTGTCCGGTTTGATTTTGATGCCTTCTTTGAAGCAAATGGAGAGCATAGCAGCCTAAAGGTCAATAAAGAGATTTTTGAGTTTTTGAGTTCAAAGTTATATAACGGTTTTAATTAAAAACTTATATTTAAGATACAAAAATTGGCGCCGGGAGGTACGTATAGCCGCCCATACTAAAATATGCTAATAAAAAGTTGGTAGGCAGTTCTTTTAGTTTCAAAGTAAAGTTTTTACCTTTTCAATAAGTTATAAGATAACCAAGATACAAAGAAGGTCGTAAAATGCAACATTTTAAAATTCGCTCTGTATTTCAGGAACTAAAGGTTTGGTTTGGTTTGGTAAACCTGTATGAGTTGGTATAAATAATCTGCATGAGTATCTTTAGCTCCATAAAAAAGTATCATGCGTGATGTAAAAACTGCATCTTTGTATCTCTTCTCATAAACAAGAAATCCCACAAAAACACGAAAATGGGACACCCTGTACAAACAAAGTAATACAGTAAGTAGTAACAAAGTAATAGTATGTAGTATGTAAAATTATATGGGGAATGTCATCGATCGTCATTTCCAAACCAACTGGACGCCGTCTTTTTTCGATCATATGTCAGACTCATTAAAGAAGGCAAACAATGGAGCAGTCAATTACAATAGCAGAAGAAAAAAAAATTGAAAAAGCAAAAATGTGTAGACAGAAAACGAAAAAAAAACTTCTGTAATTATTTTTAGAGTTTGTAGCAGTATAAATAAATTTTATTACCTTAACTTGTTGAATATTAGGTTTACCAAACTTCAACCCAAAACAGTAACCAACCAATGTCTTCATTTTCTGATGATCCCTATTATTACACATGCACACAATAGGAAAACTGGCTGTTTTAATAAAATTTATAAGCTCCGCTATACCACCCCTGTCCTCGTTACCGGCCATACCATCGACTTCGTCCATCAGAAGAATTCTTTTTTTGTTAATGTTATTATCACCTTAATTCAAAAATTTGAACATTAAAAAGTTAAAATAAATTTTTATGAATATATTTTACCAGAAACATAACCCGCTACTGTTTTACTTTGCATCATTTGAGATATCTCTTCGTGCAGTAGTTTTTTGCTTCTTGTATCTGACGCGTTAAATTCAACAATGTCGTAACCTAATTCTTTGGCTACTAAAGTAGCGGTTGTGGTTTTTCCTGAAATTAATGATAAATAACATTATTCTGGATTTTTTGCCTCAAATTTTTTACAAGTACAGGTAAATACATACTTACTTTCCTATAAATATCGTAATCTTAAATAATACAGTGTATTCAAAATTCTACGCCAAACTTTCTAAAATATAAAATTATTTTTCTTTGTTTTTTTAATTGAACACCCTGTATATAATTTTTTTTATTAGATGGAGAGTTAAAAAGTGAATATTTTTTGTATTCAAAGTACTTCAAAATTTTTAATGGTTTCGCAGGTACACGCAGTATTATTTCCTAGTGATGTGTCGGTATTTGAGTAACGCGATTTTGGAGCGGTATTTTTTTATAACGTCGCGTCGTGTCGCGCTCCACAACGAATCAGGAACCTGTTACTGAAGAACAACGATCGTAATGACGACAAAATTATAAATTATTTATAATTTGCAAATAAATTATTTTTAATCGCACTTAAGTTAGCTCGAACCGTAGTAACCGCATAGCGACGTGTTTAGCTCCAGCCGTCGCGATATCGTCGGTCGCCAACAGTAGTATCTGGAACTGGTATGTCCGTAGCGCCGCGCGATCTCGATCGGGACGTGTTCGCTCCAGCCGTCGCGCTCCTAGAGTTGTAGTTCCTTGGCGCGAACAGAAGCAACTGCTGTAACTGGGCATCGACGCTCGACCTCGGCGGCGACCTACTTCGCTACAGCCGTCGCGCTCCTAGAGTTTTAGTTCCCTGTCGCGAACAGAAGTAACTGCTGTAACTGATTATCGACGCTCGACCTCGGCGGCCCCGTACTTCGTTCCAGCAGTCGCTGGAGCGCTTCTAGGGTTTCGGTTTTGCCTGTCGCGATTTGGCCGGTCACTATTGGCGTTGGTGCTCCCGTCGCTACGAAATAGCGATTTTTGGTATGTACTAGGCATGGTATAAAATAGTGTTGTTTGAAAGATGAAACGCAAACATTTAAACTTTTTTTTTATACATTTATATAAGTTTTATTGTTTATATCTATTTATAAGGTTAGGTTAGACCAATAAACATTTTTTTTGACGGTGGTTTGGACTTTGTTCTTGATTTTAACATTAAATATATTATATTGCAATACACATAAATATGAGCCGTTCATTTTGTTTAAACGAAAATTGATAAAGAAAAAAAAATAACAAGGAATGTCATCGTTTTTATAAAAATGAGATAGATTGGCTATAAACGATTATAAACTCGATATTTGGAAAATGAGTGGCGGATAAAAGTTACATTAATCTACAAATATAGATACGTTAGATATATTTTTAGCGATGATCGCAACAACTTTGGAAGTTGGAACTTCGGTTACAAAATCGCGGTATTTTTCTGGAACGGTCGCTATTGTAACGCGACTCATGTGGAACCGGTATTCCCATCACTATTATTGGTGGGTTCATACAGCCAAATAAAATAAAATAAGAATAAAATAAAATAAAATAAGAAAGTTGGTTATATGGGATACCGTACATGTAACCGTACAAATAAAATAACAAATAAAATAAGAAGTCTTTATCTTTTAACTTCTTGTTTTATTTTATGTGAAAACGGCTTTGCGCACGCTTAATTCTAACCTACAAATATTTTCAGTTTGGATTTAATTTATTTTATAATTTCACATAAGTAAAATGTATAATATAGTAGGCAACGAATAAATAAATATACTATAAATAGTAAAATTACTATAAACAATCGTAAAAGTTAACTTTTATCCAGCCTCATCGTACTGCGCATGAGCAAATATATATTTCTTATTTTATTTTATTTGACTGTATGAACGCACACAAATAAGAATTCCTTATTTCTTATTTTATTTTATTCTTATTTTATTTTATTTGGCTGTATGAACCCACCATATTTCATATGGCTCTTTCAATGGTAAAATACCCGAGAAAAATCATTGAGTGCCTTTGATAAAAATTTACTGTGAAAAATGCCCTGTCAAAGTCAAAAAAATGCCCTGCTGTGAAAAATGCCCAATCTCAGTCAAATATAAAATCGCGAATATCTTATAAAAATATCTTATTTTTCATGAATATATTTAAAATAATATTGAAACAATTATCTTGAATATATAAACCATTTTTCTTCTTAAAATGGATACCTATCTGTTTCTTACCTACACCAGGGGGCCCACTTAGCAAAGCTGCCTTAAACCATTCACCAGTTCCTTGATTATACAATGTAGGCTTAAACAATTTTTTCTTAATCTCAGGATTCCGATTTCTATACCAGTTCTCCAACCATCTCTTCAGTTGATTCATATTACTATTGGACTCCTTTTGCCCTAAAATAACAGAAAATTGCTTGTAATAACTAAAAATTAATATAAATTCTTTCTTAACAATTGACAAACAAAATATTTTTACCAATAATATCCTTTGTGCTGGTTGGTTTATATTTTTCCGTCCATGACATATTTGTTGGAGACATCTCAGATATTTGTCGTACTTCCTTTGAACTAACTGCACTTTCTTGTTTTGTTTTGGCATTATCACAATCATTTTGTGATGACTCCTTTTTAACATGTTGTGAATCTTGTGATACATTTTTCTTTAAATCATCTCTTTTGTCTGCTTCAGTTTTTGCCTTATCGTGAGCGCTTTGTGAATTTTTATCTTTTACATCCTTTTCAGTGTCAACACATTTCGCCACAGATGCACTTTCTTCCTTCTCAGGCGTACCAACTTTTTTTAATTTCTTTAAATTCGGTTTATTACTATCACTTTCAGACTTTTTGTCCTTAATTTCATTCTTATTTGCTTTCTCTATTTTATTTTTTGCTTCAGTTTTAGTCACGAATTTGGGAGATTCAGTTTCTGATCCTCCCAAGCCTAAATCTTCCGAGTCATTTCTGGTTACGTACTTTGGTTTCATTCCTGACTTAACAAGAATCAAATCTAGCAATTCATTTTCTGATATTTCTTTGATATTGAAGTTTCTAGCTTTTTCAAGTTTCGATGGACCTGGCTGGTCACCGACAACTACATAAGTCACTTTTCCTAAAATAATAATAATAATTATTGATATTTTGCAGATTGGTTTATACAGGGTGTCCCATTTTTTTGTTTGACATGGTTTCTCATTTATCAGTAGAGATATAAAGATGCAGTTTTCACACCATTATGCTACATTTTTGTGAAACCAAAGATACAAAAAACAGAGTTGTCCTAGCCCTGTTTGAAAATCGTTGTACTCAAAAAGAGAAACCCCATAAAACACAAAAAAATAAAACACCCTGTATAGTGCTTTCATTTTATTTTATCCCACATTTAACAGGTGTTAGAATTTTAGAATTTAGAATGAGTGGGAGGGGGGTTAATCACTTCGACCTTACAGATCCATTGTGTCCCCCTTTCTTGAATCATAACTCATCATACAGTCCCAGGGCTTTGACAAAAGCCAGTATCTGGGACGGTTTTATAGAGGGTAGTTCTCCATCTCCAATATCAGTCGTACCAAAATTCATGGCACGAATGGTTGTCGTCTCGGCGCACTCAGTGATGAGGTGTACTGGTGTTTCACCATCTTCCCCACAGAATCTGCATTCGCCGTTTCTTCTTAGTTTCAATCTACTGAGCTGTTCATTGAGGAGACAGTGTCCTGTTAAAAACCCCGTGACAATCCGGAGATTGTTCTTACTCAGACCCAGGAAGATCTGTGATTTTTCTTGATCATAAGCCCTCAGAAACTTCTTCGAGTGTCCTAGACCATTGCAAGATTTCCATTCCAGGTTGCGGATGGAATCTTCCAAGTTCTTGAGTTCCGCCTTGAGTTGGTTACCACTTGGAAAGCAGAACGGTTCTGGTCCAGTTAGTGGAGTGTTCATAATAACAGGTGTTAATGTTCATAATTAACAGGTGTTAACTTTCATTAAAAACACAAGCTATAGGGCTTTTAAACTCTATAACTTATTTGTTTTTAAACATCTATTTAAAAAAAATATCAGTTCTTATTATCTTACTTGAAACTGCATGAACTACTCTTCCACCATGATCCTTAATTATTTTTTCAAATTCTTCAGAGTCTAGTGAATCTAAAACTCCTGTTTTTAAGAAAGTCAAATTGGCTAAACAATCAGGTTTTCCCTAAAAAAAAGTTAGTAAATTTTTTTCATTACCTTTTACCTTATTACAAAAGATTTACCTTTGGATATTCTTTTTCACCCTGATGTTTGGGACCACCTCTGTGCAAGTATTGTTGGTACAAAGCTGCAGAGTGCCTCTTCTTTTCCCATCTTTCTTGGTCGGCATCAATTCCCGAATCTGTATATTCAAATTTCTGTTTCTTATTAGGAGTGGATTCATCTAAATTTATATATAAACATATATACAAGATATGCAAAGATATTTGTATAAATATCTTACTTTCTGATTTTTTTCTTTGTCGCTTTTTAGGAGTTTTTTCTTGTAACTTATCCTCACGAATCTGATCTTTAATAACAGATGTTGAATCTTCCCTTTTTTCCTCTAATTTTTCATTTAGTATAGCTTCTTTATTAAAGGTGGATTCATCTAAATTTATACATAAGAATAATTGCAAAAGATACACAAACATATTGGCATAAATATCTTACTTTCTGATCCATTCCTCTGTTGCTTCTTAGAAAACTTTTCTTTTAATTTATCCTCATGAGTTTGATCTTTAATTACAGATGTTGATCCTTCCTTGTTTCCCTCCAGTAGAGCTTCTTCAATTGTCTTGTCCAACATTTCCATATTATCCAACAAAATTGTATCGTCACTATCCTCATCCAGTTCCATAAGTGTCTTTTCAAAGTCCTTATTAGCATGTATACCTAGCTCTGTATTTTTCTTAGTGTTCTTGTTAGTTTTGGTAGGTTTTTTCGGTGTTACTTTCACAACATTTTCTTTTTTCTCAGTAGCTATAACTTCTGGCTGTGTCTGCTTTATCGGTTTATTAAAAACATCCTCAATGTTTACAGGCGTTAACTTAGGGGAATGCGAACTCTTTGCTTTTTTCTTTTCAGGTGATTTACTTTTAATATCATCTTCAGAATCAGAACTTATTACATATGCTTTATGTTTAATACGACTGGTCTTTTTTGACTGTGGTTTCACTGGCGTTGTCTCAACCATACTGATATCAACGTCATCGTTACTAAAACTTATTGAGTTGCGAGAATCGACCTTACTTGAAGCATTCTTAGATGATTTTTTTGATAAATTGGCAAATAAAGTTCGAATATCCTAAAATCATGAAGTATGTACTTTGTGTTGTCAATAAATATCAATTTAATTGTAAGCCTTACCTGTGACATGTTGCTTGAGATATTCAAACAATAATATTCTTATCACCAAATTAATTATCACAATTTAATATATTCGTAGATAAAAAGAAAAACATAACGTAACTTTGTGTAAATTTTTGACCCGCCAAAACATCCATTTCCAAATATTCTTCTTTTTTTTTGGAGGGCCCTAAGCTGCTAGGAAAATAGTCTTCTTTGGAAATCATTAATAATAACTTATATGATCTAAGTATATGACATATCAAAAGAGTATATGAGACTTAATCATATATAATATTTTGTTTTTACAAAATCCGAAAATTTTAAAAGAAGATTATTTTAACAGACGGGACAGTCCTAGCAGCTAGGTCTTTAAATTAATTAAATAAAGAAGATTATTTCAATCTAACCTTTCATTTATGAAAGATTAATGACGTAAACGGGCAACGGCCCAGCTACGTCGAAACCCCGGTTCCCATTAGAACACCGAAGTTAAGCGACGTAAGGCGATGCTAGTGGATGGACGGGTGACCGGTTCGAAACTTTGCATCGTGCTGTTGTCCAAAAGGGAAAAGTGTAAAATCTATTGATACACACTGCTCATTCACGCCGGTTCAAGGCCGGATGAGATCGGATATCTCGTGAGTAAGAGTTAATTTAGACACTTCCTAAGTCGGTAGGCCATTGACCATGATATGGCCGAGGACCGCGGTTCGGATTCCGCGTAAACAAGTAGGTCCCGTCCAGTTTAGCCATTGCAGCAGAAAGGAGACGTTAACTTGAACCTCATAATGACGTAAACATCAGTTAACGACTGTGGTTAACGACCTATTGTATTTCATTTGATAAATATGAAACGTTTTAAGTTTTTTCTTATAATATGGATTCTCTAAATAAGGAAAAAACGAAGCAGTCCAACAGCAAAAAGGAAAAGAAAGCTATCGTCAATGATTGTGGCAAAAAGATGGTCCAGCAAAATGGGCACAAGCCAGAAAATATTGAAGACAAAAAACAAGCCCATTTTTCAATGGCAAAACAAGACTGGTATAAACGTAATTTATCTCATATACGACAGTTTTTTAGAATAAACATTGAAATTAATGTTGTGTCCTTAATTTTGTTCATTGGAGCTGTTATATCTAGAATGTATAAGCTAGAACAACCAAGAAACATTGTGTAGGTAGTTTGTTCTTTTAAATCAAGATAGTGTACTAAGAAATGTTTATTTTTAGATTTGATGAACTGCATTATGGAAAATATGTCTCTCTTTACATGAAGAATACATTTTTCTTTGATTCACATCCCCCTTTAGGAAAACAGATTCTAGCTTTAGCTGCTTACATTTCTGGATTCGATGGTCAGTTCAAATTTGACAAAATCGGAAGCCCTTATAATGAATCTGTTCCGTTAGTAGCTCTACGCTTTATGCCAGCTTTATTTGGAAGTCTGTTGGTACCGACTGTGTATCACTTAATGTTAGAAATAGGCCTTACAGAATGGACATCAGTTCTAGCAGCATTACTGATTTTATTTGACAATGCAATTTTAACACAAAGCAGGTTCATTCTTATGGAATCAATGCTCTTATTCTTTTCGTTCTTTGGAATTTTATGCATCTTGAAATTTAGAAAGTACTACTCCAAACCTTATAGCATTCCTTCGTTTTTTTGGCTAGTTTGTGCCAGTGTATCTCTTACTTGCTCCCTCTCAATAAAATATGTAGGAATTTATTCAAGCATATTAGGTGTAGCGATAATTTTAAGAGATTTTTGGAAGCTTCTTTCAAACAAAGATATATCAGATCTGTCTCTATTTATTAGATTTGCTGTTCAAGCTTTAACTGGGTTGATTGTCTCAGCAATAGTATATCTTTCTATATTTTATATTCACCTGAGTGTACTCTATAAGGCAGGACCTCATGATAGTATTATGACCAGTGCATTTCAAGCATCCCTAGAAGGTGGTTTGGCCAGTATTACAAAAGGACAACCGCTTTTGGTTGCTCATGGATCCCAAATAACTTTAAGGTAACTAATCTATCAGTTAATACAATTATTAATCTTAATATAAATTACTTTGTTTAGGCATACTCATGGCCGTACATGTTGGCTTCATTCTCACAATGCAGTATATCCAATAAAATATCCTGATAAAAGAGGTTCAAGCCATCAACAACAAGTTACCTGTTATTCATTTAAAGATGTTAATAACTGGTGGATTGTGAAAAAGCCAAATAAAAATGATTTGGTTGTTGAACAACCAGTTGATGCTATTAAGCATGGAGATGTAATTCAACTTGTCCATGGTGATTATTTTTTATTAAATAATTAAATTTCTTTATTAATATTTAATTTATTTTAGGTATTACAAGTAGAGCTTTAAATTCACACGATGTAGCATCTGCTATATCGCCTCAATGCCAAGAAGTTAGCTGCTATATTGATTATAATATTTCAATGCCTGCTCAGAATTTGTGGAGAGTAGAAATTTTAAATAGGTTAGTGCTAAATGTTTTGATTTATTTCTTTTTCTAACTAATATATTAATTTTGTAGAGATCAAATAGGTGATAAATGGCACACAATTCAATCTTTGATAAGACTTATCCATGTGGATACAAATACAGCTTTAAAGTTTACTGGAAGACAGCTACCTGACTGGGGTTTTCATCAGCATGAAGTTGCGGCAGATAGAGTTTTGAACCAGGATGATACAGTTTGGAACGTTGAGGAGCACAGATATACCAAATGTAAGAAATAATTTGAAAATACCTTAATAAAAGTGTAATTTTTGTACTTTTTATGTAGCTGAAGACCAGAAAGAAAGAGAAAGGGATCTAGTTACAGCAGAAATGATTCCTACGGCGGCAACATCGCTCAGTTTTTGGGAAAAGTTTTTTGAGTTGCATTACAAAATGATGTTTGCCAGTACGGAAAGTGTTCAGAATCACATGTACAGTTCTAATCCGTTGGAATGGCCTTTGATGTCTAGAGGAATTGCCTACTGGGTCTCATCTTCAAGTAATGTAAGTCTTTTTCACAAATTTTATTTATTATACCGGGTGTTTGTTAAGTATAAGTGCAAATATTTTCACTGGCAGTTTATTTGGTCTCCATTGACATACCACGTTGCTTATGGGATGAAAAATTTTATGAAATCTGATGAGAATATGCGATGAAAGTTATTTCGCATTTTACAATTTTTTTTTTATATTTAGAGACCTTTTTTGGAGCTGCAAGTTTATCTGATATTTTTATAAAATTTCCTTGATCCTGTACTAAGGGCATGCAACGTTGCCATTTTGTGTAAAATGAAAATATTGATGCTTTGTGAAAATCTAATGAAGATATAGTTAAAATTATAGTAAAAATCATTTTATGGTATAATAGGTTTACTGGTGTTCATTGTTGCCAGCTCTCGGGAATTTTCTCTAGATTTAGGGAAAATCAGTGTTGTGAAGGGAAGAAAAATGATGTGGAGGAAAATTTGAAGAGATAAATGAATTTTAGACAACGTATTTTTACACAAAATTTATGATAATTGCATTTAAAATTTTACCAAACTTAGCTTTTCTTATAGTAACAACCAGAGACCAGATTTTAAGACATTTTTTAGTGACAATTTCAGATGTTTTTTTTTTATTTAGTTGAGATATAAACAAAAAGATACAAATAAGCATTAATTACTCTGGGATTGTTAGGGAATTGTAGGGAATTTTAAAGCAATGATCTATGAATTTGCCAAATTTCATCTGACAACACTGACACAGCCAGTAAGGAAGGCTTGTGACCTTTTGGATAGGGCTTGAAATTTTACAACTTATTTTTTAAGTTAAATATCAAACTATTGTGTTAATGTGGCAACATAGGTGGTTGGTAAAGAAAAAAGAAAAATAAACCTGCGGCTCTCAAAATTCACAGAATTTTTTTTATAAAATTAACCGATGAAATAACTTTGCTGTTTTGGGTATATAATAGATATTGATACTGTCCTAAAGGAAATACATCATTTTCACGACAATATTTTAAAACTCTTCTTTAATATATCGGGTTTAGAGTGATAAATAGTCTTTGCCTATCCAGAGCAACAAAAAAGTTGTTTTCTGTGTAAATTCCTTAAATTTTTGGTTGTAACAATATAGATTCCAATCGATACCAAATATTTTATAATTTTTAGGCCCAAATTCATCTTTTGGGTAATATTGTGATATGGTACCTGGCAACGTTTGGTCTCTTAATATACTCAACCCTTCTTGTGTTCTATTTGCTCAGAAGAAGACGCGAAATCGACGATTTGGGTGAAGATAACTGGAACAAATTCCAGTTGATAGGTGAAGTATTTTTCTTGGGTTACTTATTCCACTACTTGCCCTATTTTTTCGTGGAAAGAACTCTATTTCTTCACCACTATCTGCCAGCGTTTATGTTTAAAACTCTCCTATTCGCAGCCACATTAGAACATTTATATGTCGTTTTAAATCAGATTGTTAGAATTAAACTATTGTATAATTTATTAATTGTTAGTACGTTTATTATGTTGTTTGGTGTTATATACGTGTTTAAAAAATTCTCTATTTTGAGTTATGGCAATGCCCACTTAAATACAAGTGATATTCTAGGGTTAAGGTGGAAAGATACTTGGGATTTTATTGTTCATAAGAATTAAATTTTTTTTCTAAAAAAATCTTATTTTTTTAAGTTTAAGAAACATTTTATTTAGTGTTCATAAGATCTAATATTTTTTTTATGAGAATCTCATATTTGTTAGACTCTAAAAAGACATTTTATATTATACTTAAAATATTAACGGCAATATAAGAATCTTATACTTCTATAAGTTTCTGATGTTTTAAACTCTCAAACTGACATATTTTTATAATTAAATTATTTATTAGATAAATATAACTTTATTTTTACACATATTCTAAAAAGGACATTTTTATTATAGAGGGTGTTTATGAAAGAGTGCGTTCTTTTTAAAAAACAAGGAGATTTTTCGCACTGAATTCATTATACCCAGTATTTAAAATACTATAAGGTAAAGATTTTTTTGATCACAAGTTTATTTTTTTTTTCTTTAATAATATTATACCTTTTGTTTTTTTTTCCAGACTGACTTTTAAAAAGCTCTTAAAATGACATTTTTAATTTCTGAATATTTATATAAAGATAAATTTGAAATATATACACTTTTATATTGTACTGTTTTTTAGATAAAAATTTATATATTTTTTTTATATATATATTTATACAGAATATAATATATTGCTTATTTTGAAATATTGATTTTAGTTTGTTATGTCCCAAGGCCTTAAATCAGGATTATAAAAAAAAATAATTTCCCTTTAATTAATTTTATTTGAAATACTTTAAAAAATACAAATTAAAAATTAATTTTAAGCAGTATCCATCTCTTCTGTCTCGATTCTTCTTACTGTTACTTCTTCCACATCTACAACTTTCGTAGTCAATACCGCAGTTGTACCTGTTAATAAAAAATAAACATTAAAAACTGCTATATTCTGAGGATATTTATATAATTTATAAATACCTTTTTGATATTTATAAGAATTTTGCTTTTGACCCTTTTTGTTGGCTTCATCGTACGTTCTTTTATAATCAACATTGCCTCCCTTACGGATGATGCAGATATCAACGTTCGAACCTGATCCCAGATCATTGAAAATACCAGCAGCTATAGCATCCCTGACCTAAAATTAAAAGAAAGTAATTTAAAACTATACATATAGCAAAAAATAAAAGTTATAATATATAATATATTACCAGTTGCACACCTTCTGCTTCTTCCATGTCTGGTTTCCAACGAGATTCAAACACAGCCATAGCAGCCAGTGAACCTGAACCCATGGTGGTATAATGCAACTGATCAGAAGAACCATGAGGAAAAATGCAATATAAATGAGAACCTAAAAGAAAACTTTAGAATTTTCCAATATAATTATTCAGTATTATTACCAGTGGTATCAACTCCACCCAAAACCAAAGCAGCCCCGACATAGCCTTGATAACGAAACAGATACTGCTTTAGCAGTTGATTTGCAGTGGCCACTCTGACAACTCTTCCTGTATATAGACGGTGTAGTTCAAGTTGGGAGGATATCATTTGTGTGGTCATTTCTGTATCAGCAGCTGTACCCGCTCCACAACAACTAAATAAAAGTAGAAATGTAATGACCTCTTTGTAAAGAGTGTAGGTATTTTTACTTACTACATATTAGGAGCGATGTAGTGAATCTTTTCACAATTTTTATCAGCCACGGTGGTATCTTCAGTGGCTCTTGTATCAGCGCCAAGAATAACGCCATCCTTGTAAATTATTCCTACAATAGTTGTACCGGTTTTTGTAGCTTTAGGAAGTACTAGTCCCTTGTTTTCTAGCATAACATTTCTAAAAGTTAGGTTACATGACAAAATCTTTTATAAACTCTAGTATTTATTTAAAGCTGAAAATTAAAAATAATACGAACCTCCTACAATTATCGAATGAAAACCCTGGAGCGGGTATTTCGGGGCACAAAACAGACATGTTTCCAAGTTTGTTTCTTTCTTACAAGTCACGCACGAAATTAGGAACAAACTGATTTTTAAAATTTTTGACAGTTCTCTACTTTTTTTATTTTAGTGGCTACTTCTGTTTGGGTCTGGTACAACAATAGCAACAGTAGTAAACTGTTGCTATTTTTTTTGGAACTAATAAATAGTAAAGAAGAAAGCGCTGCTTAAGCCTGGTAAACAAAAAAGAAGAAAGGGTTTTGACATATGTCAATTGTCATTTCTATTGACAGAAAAAATCTGTCAAAAGTGTCAACTTATATTTACTTTTATCTTAGATTTTTATGGTGTCAAGATGTTATTATATTTATAATTAAAAAAATTGTTAAATTACTTTAATGTTTACAGTACTTAAGGATTTACTTTTATCTACTTATTTCATTAGTAATTATTTGTTTTCATAATAAAGTTCTTTCTGTTCTACTACCTGTCGTTTGTAAATAGTTAGGTGTCTTATATTGAAATTATTTTAAATATCCTTCAATATGAGTGAGAATGGCGATGATTTAGAACAAACACTAGTACTAGCAGCGGCAGCAGCTGATTCATTACAGTATGAAGACGCAGCGGAAGAATCTCATAATGAGGAACTGCCTAATAAACCTGATGAAAGTGAATTTTATTCAGAGGATAAAGAGGAACCATTACAAAAGAAAAAAGTAAACGAAGAGGCCAATAATTCACCAAATTATTATAATCACGTGAATAATTCTCATAGCGTTAAAAAGCGTAACCATGAAGAAACAGACAACGAGCCTCAAACCTCAGACTATTCCCATAGTCATGTAGTAGCCACTCATTATAATCTCTTAGAAGAAAAAGGTTTACAGGAAAGGTACAAGTCGCGAATCATTTATTTGCGCAATTTTCACAACTGGATTAAAAGTATGTTAATCAATCAGTACATAACTAAAATTAAGGAACATAAAAAACAACATAATCCCCCCATTCGTGTTCACGACATGTGCTGTGGTAAAGGAGGTGATCTTTCCAAATGGAAGAAAGGCAACATTACTTATCTAATTTGCAGTGATATAGCTGAAGTATCTCTAGAGCATTGCAGAGCTCGATATGATACCATGAAACACCATGCAAGGCGTGAAAGAGGTGTGCTTGGGTTTGTATAATGTTTCTCTTGTAAATATGCAATTGCTACCATCCTTAGGAGGGGGACACAATATGTTTTCACTGGAAGTTATAGCCGGTGACTGTACCAAAGTTAGACTAAGAGAAAAATACTCAGATCCATCGATGAAGCTGGATTTGGTAAGCTGTCAATTTGCCTTTCATTATAGTTTCGAAAGTCTACCTCAGGCCGAGAACATGTTAAGGAATGCTTCAGAATGCTTACAACCTGGAGGATATTTTATAGGTAAGGATATTTTTATTAAAATTTATAGTTATAGGTAGTATTTTTTTGAACAAAAATTATGTCAGAGATCTGTTTTAGGTACTATCCCAGACTCAAATGAAATTGTAGCAAGAGCAAGGAAATCAAAATCAAATACCTTTGGAAACAAAGTTCTTGAAGTCGAGCTAGACTTTGATCCTAACGATCCTCCCCTGTTTGGAGCCAAGTACAATTTTAAATTGGATGGTGTGGTTAACTGTCCAGAATTTTTGGTACATTTCCCTACTTTTGTCAAGTTAGCAAAGAAATTTGGTCTAAAATTAGTGAGGAAAGAGAAATTCTTGGAGTTCTTTGACAAGATGAAACATGAAGGTACATATAAGTGATTTAAAAAGTTATAGTTTTTGTATTAAAATAGTTTTTTTAGGGCGTCAACTTTTAAGTAACATGAGAGCACTGGAAATGTATCCTCCTAATGAAAATGCTACATTACTGGGCGATGAAGAAGATTACATTCACGCAAAGGAATTTATTGAAAGGCAGGATCAAAATGGAGGCCCTGTAAAAATTGGAACTTTATCGAAAAGTGAATGGGAAACATCTTGTAAGAACCTCCAATAATGTTTGTCTTGTCACAATAATTTATTTATTCTGTATTTTTTAGCTCTATATTTAACATTTGCCTTTGAAAAAGTGAAAAATACATGGAACGCTGATGGAACTCCTTGTTTTGATATTTGACACATCCATAAATGGTTCACTTATTAGCAGAAACATATTTTCTTATTAAAGTGCATATGTGTTCAAGTTTTATATAAAGTAATTATATGATATTTATGTAAATAGATTGAAATATACAATTAAACTCATTAACTTATTTATTTATATTAATTAATATTCAGGAAAAGAGCAATATTTTATTAAACGAAATGTTTTTTTGGCATAAAGTTTGTGACAATCTAGAAACACAGGTGCTAAAGTAAAATAAGCTCAGAAATAAGTTCCTTGATCTTGAGGTCAATGTCCCCAAACTAAGTTTTTTTAATAGTGTTTTGTATAATGATTCACAACGTTGAAAATTGAATACGGTACCTGTGAGAGTACATTGTATAAAATTCCTCATCTATGGTACAAAAGCAGTTGAATAATAGTTGGTGGTTGAATACTTGTTGAATTCTTCAAATCGGGTTATTGACCCATATCTCTATAAACGCAATTTTATTGTTTTAACGCTATTTTCATTAAAAAGTATAACATATTTTATACTCTTTTTTATAATTCATCTTGTTTTAAACAATATTGTTTGAATAATGTTTAAATTAATTTTGAACATTGTTAGTTATTTTTCATAATAAAAGATATCTGTAGTATTTAGAATTTTAAAAAGCAGTAATAAATCAAATTTATTTTAATGTTTACATTGGTCATGATTAAAGTAAAATTGGTAAATTTTTAGTATTTATTAGTATTATTCTTTGATATTAAAATCATTTACTTTTACACAATTAAGTAACATTTTTTTCCAATAAAATTAGATAATAGCCTTTACCTTTTACCTCTAACTAATAGATGGCGCCACCATGATCAAATTGTAGTTTCCCGTCTGTCCAATGTTGCTTCTGCATGTGTGATTCGTCCGAATCCGAATTTCTGTCTGTCTGTAGTTAATTGGAGTATGGTTTGTGGCAACTTTGGTGGCAACAATCTGCTAGATTATGGACGTGGAAAACTCTACTGAAAATGGAACATCCCATTCGGTAAGTGTATAGATCGCTTTGTTTCTTCTAATGGCAACGTTTTTCTCTATAAGATTTTCTTCTAAGTGCTAAGATAACGCCGGTTTACTGGTGAGAATCGGTATTGTCGGCGAAATTTTTCTAAGTCCCAAAATGGCGTCAAACGACTAAGTCCCGTCCATCACTTAATACAAAGCACGCGCTGCATATTTTTCATAATTTCTCGAATATTCTCAAGAATACCTGTTTCGAAAAAATAATGAAAATTGTTTAAACATTGTTTTTTATTTTAAACAATTTTTTCTTTGTTTATTTTCTAAGTTTCCTTAATTAATCTATATAATAATGGAAATGCTGCTGTTTTTTAAATTTCAGTTAAATGTTTAGATTTGTTTTATTTCTCTATAGATAAACAAGCCTGTTGTTAACCTTTTTAGTTAGAAAATGTATGTTTTTCTAACCTGTTTTGTTATAATCTTAATTTCATAAGCATTGTGTTAAGGAGATGTTAATTTTATAGCCTAAAGAAGCCGCTGTAAACGGATACTCCGATAAACATAAATCAGATAAAGACAAACATAGAGAAAAAGATCGCGACAAACATAGGGATAAGGATCGCGACAAAGACAAGCATCGTAGTAAAGATCATAAATCTTCAAGTAAGGATAAGGAAAAGGATAGAGAAAAGGACAAATATTCCAGTTCAAAGGACAAACATTCCAGTTCAAAAGATAAACATAGTTCACATAAGTCCTCGAGTAAAGATAAAGATAGGGAAAGAGAGAAAGAGAAGGATAAACATAGGGAAAAAGAAAAAGATAAGGACAAGCAGAGGGATGATAAAGATAAAAAATCAAGCTCCAGCTCAAAAGATAAAGATCACAAAAGCTCCAAGGATAAAGAGCATAAATCGAGTTCTTCATCGAAAGATAAAGACAAGGAAAGGAGAGATAAAGATAAGGAGAGAGAACGTGAAAAGGACAGAAGTAAGGATAGATCGAAAGATAAAGACAAGGATAGAAAGCATAGTTCGAGCAGTAGTTCAAAAGATAAGCATAGGGATAAAGACAGACATCATTCAAGCTCTAAAGATAAAGATAGGAAAGATAGAGATAAAGAAAAAGATAGAAAGGAGAAGAAAGAGAAAGAAAAAAGTTCAGGTAAGAGTTAAGTCTTGACAAAAACTTTCAGTGTCATTAATTGTCAAAGTGTCTACAAATGTAGTCTCCAAAATTATTGTATTCAATTTCATTCTGTTTTTTTTTATTGTCCTTTGTGTTAAACTTTTTGTGTATGTTTTTAAATCAAAATGAAGATCTGTCCTCATTGTAATTTACATTGTTGGTTGGTTAGCAGTATGCACTTGAATCAATGTCTAAATCTCGTAATTTTTTCTTGTTTAATATTTTCAGAGGATATTGAAGTGAAAGTTAAAGAATATGTAGAGCCTGTTAAGCAAGAAGAAGCTAGTACTGATGATGACGATGATAAATTGGTGATAAAAGATGAGCCCTACAGTCAGGTTAGTCTTTATTCTTTAGTTTTATGAAAAAAATATTTATTTTGTGTTATGTGATAGGATGAAGCTGAAAAGGAGACTGAGAACCACAATAACTTATCACAAGCATCAAGTTGTGATTATAATATGTCACAGTTTGACAAAAACGAATCGTGTTTTGAAAATTCCGATGAAGAAAAGGTAAAAAAAGAAGAAGAGTCCCAGGATGAAGATTTCAAGCCTCCAAAAGAAGAACCCGAAGACAGCGATGAAGATGTGCCACTGGTGAGTTGAAATACATTTAAATATTCAGTTTTTCTTTGAAAATAATTCTTTTGTATTTTATGCAGACATCTAGGAGACTGGTATGTTAATTTAAATGACTATTTTTTTCTAAAAAGTGTGTCTTTCTTGGATTCTTTTAATTAGGGGTCGAATTTTTGCAGGCGTCCCGGCTCGGTCACAATAAAAGGAAGTTAGAGTCCGATCCCGAAGAGGATGACGACGACGACGTGCCTCTGATGGCCAGGAAGAAGGTCAAGCAGGAAAAGAAGGAGGAAAAAAAGAAAAAGAAGAAGAAACGTGAAGATTCGGATATTGAAGATGATTTCGAAGAGAAAAAAAAGAAAAAGGTATGTGAATTTAAACTTGGAAAAGTTTGAAATGTATAAATTGTTTTTTAATTAAGGTCAAGAAAGAAAAGAAGGTGAAAGTTGAGGTGAAACAAGAAGAAAGTCCTAAAAAAGGCGGTAGGAAGAAGAAAGAAGAGGAACAGCAAGAAGTATGGAAATGGTAAGTTTTTATCCATTTTAATAAATTATTCTGTGTTTTAACAGCTAGTACTACATTTTATGGACAAATTAATTTAAATAAACAGATACTATAGTATAGCATTGACCTAGTCATATGTAGGGGAATTATTTCAATCATTTCATTTTCTATCAATGAACTAATTTTTACCGGAAAACTTAATTGTTTTGGAACGCCATTAATATTTGGGAACGCGCCACAATTTATTACAACCACAGAGCAACAACGATTCTTCTTCAAGTGTCAAATTTGTCAGCAACACGTCACCGAACGTCAATCGTCAATATCAATATGGCGTATTTTATTTTGTGTCCGATGAAGGAGGAAGTAATTTTTTAAATAAAAAATGTTCAGAATGTATTTAACGCGACATAAATTACACACTGCCTTAAAAACATGTGATTACATTTGTTCCTGTAGTTGTTTTGTGATAGCGTTACGTAATATTTCGTACAAAGTATGCGTGAAGACACCTGAATTAAAATGTGATAATAGTTTAGAAAGTACTGTAAAGAAAAGTTGGAAAATAAAACACCTGAACAATAATAGCAATCTAAATAACGACTTACCTGATGTTTTTTATAATTTAAAAGAATTTCGAACGATTTCCGGGCTAGATAAATCAAAATCTAAAACGAAAAGAAAAAAGCAAATTCCGATTAGGTATTGTAAGTTTTATTTTAGATATTTTGATTTAGTATTTTACGTTTTGTACTAGCAATAAGTTTTATTTAAGGTGGGAAGAGGAGAAGAAAGATGACGGAGTGAAGTGGAACTTTTTGGAACATAAAGGTCCAGTTTTTGCGCCTCCATACGAACCATTGCCAAGTAACATTAAGTTTTTCTATAACAGTAAAGAAATGAAACTCAGCGAGGACGCCGAAGAAATCGCTGGTTTCTATGCCAAAATGTTGGATCACGATTACACCACTAAAGAAGCATTTAATAAGAACTTTTTCCATGACTGGAGGCGTGGTATGACAGAAAATATTCTTAATTTTACGGTATTTATTGATTTTTTGAAATTATATTTACAGCCATGACAGATAAAGAGCGCAGTATTATCACAGACTTACAAAAATGCAATTTTAAACAGATGCATGCTTATTTCATGGAGTTAGCCGAGAAGAACAGGAATAAAACAAAAGAGGAAAAATTAGCTCTGAAAGAAAAGAACGAAGCCATGCTGAAGGAATATGGATTTTGTACAATCGATGGGCACAAAGAGAAAATTGGCAACTTTAAAATTGAACCTCCTGGTTTATTCAGAGGTGAGTTAAAAGCTGAATATTAATTGAACTTGTTTAATTTGTAATTATTGATTAGGCAGAGGGGAACATCCAAAAATGGGTAAATTAAAGAAAAGAGTCGAAGCCGAGGATATTATTATAAACTGTAGCAAGGATTCTGATATCCCTGTGGCGCCCAAGGGGCACAAATGGAGAGAAGTTAGGCACGATAACAAAGTTACCTGGTTGGCTTCATGGACTGAGAATGTACAAAACCAAGTGAAATACATTATGTTGAATCCCAGCTCTAAATTAAAAGGTAAAATGATAATTCATATTTTAATTTTTACGAATTTTAATGGTATGTGTTATAGGTGAAAAGGATTGGCAAAAATACGAGACAGCAAGAAAGCTACACCAAAGAGTTGACAAAATCCGACAAAACTACCAAGCCGATTGGAAATCTAAAGAAATGAAAGTGAGACAACGAGCAGTAGCACTGTACTTCATTGACAAGTTGGCGTTGAGAGCTGGTAACGAAAAAGATGAAGATCAAGCGGATACCGTGGGTTGTTGTTCGTTGCGTGTTGAGCATATCGAACTGCATGAAGAAAAAGATGGCAAAGACTATGTAGTCGTCTTTGATTTTCTCGGTAAAGATTCCATTAGGTACTATAACGAAGTACCTGTAGAAAAAAGAGTTTTTAAGAACTTACAACTCTTCATGGAAAACAAAAAAGACGGAGACGACTTATTTGACAGGTATGTAAATCTATTCTTTTTTTTTTAAAAAAAGCAGGTTTTTTTCATAGAAAATGATTTTACGCAGGTTGAATACGTCAGTGATGAACAAGCATTTGAACGATTTGATGGAAGGCCTGACGGCCAAGGTGTTCCGTACTTACAATGCCTCCTGGACATTGCAACAACAATTGGACATGCTAACCAATGAAGATGATACTGTAGCAGAGAAATTGTTGGCTTATAACAGAGCTAATAGGGCTGTGGCAATCCTGTGTAACCATCAAAGGTTAGTATCTTAAACTATTTTTTTTTCAGTTTTAAAAGTATATTTTTATACAAATGTCTCATGATTTTTTTAGTAGAGAAAATAAATTTCTGGAGTATTTTTTTATAAGTAGAGTTTTTTGTAACGGCTATTAAGCTAAATGTGCCAACTTGTCATTTTTTACAGCAGAGTTGCCACATGAATCCCTAGCGGGAAATTTAAATTCCAGTTAGTCAGCCTGGCGCCGAATACGTCCATGGTTGGCAACAATGAATTTAAAAATCGCGCCCTCGATTATGTAACTAAAAGAGATTTACTTGGTATCGCTTATAAAATCAGTTATACAGTTACAAACAGTAGTTTTTGACAATTTCAAATGTCAAAAAAATGACACCTGTTTATTTGTCTCACAGGGCTGTACCAAAGGGTCACCAGAAGTCCATGGAAAAATTGAAAGAGAAGATTGAAGCCAAGAGAGATCAGATTAGGGAAGCCGAGAGACAGGTGAAAGATGCGCAGAAGGATGCCAAACGTGGCAGTGTCAAAGAAAAAGTTGTGTATGACAAGAAGAAAAAGATGTTGGAGAGGATGAAGGAACAATTGAACAAACTAGAAATTCAGGTAAATATATTCGATTGCTCTTGAAAGATGGTTATAGTATTTTTTATGGTTCCGTATCCAAAGGGTAAAAACGGGAACCCTATTACTAAAGGCGGGTTCTCACTTGTCAGTTTCGCTGACGCAGTCTGACTGATTCATTATCAATGAAAAATAAAAAACAACGATTGTATTCACACGTTTCATGTTTTGCTACATTCAGTATTCAGTTGGTCCAAACATTCTAATGTGGTGATTTCGCATAGAGATGAAAATGGTTAAAACAAAATTGAAACCAGGTGTTCGTGAAGTTTGTTTACAATTAGCAAATGAATTACAGAATATTCTGGTGAATCAGAAAAAAAAAACGTCGTAGGTGGTCAGGTCCTGGATATTGCGAAGAAATAAACGGGGTGCTAGTGAAACTATATTAAAAGAATTAATTAACTTAACTTGTAAACTGTACAAATCACGAAAATGTAGTTCTCACGCTTCAGTTTCTATTCATTATTCGATAATGATCAGTCAAAATGAAAAAAAGTAGAACTGGTTTTCACTTTAACTGAAAGTACGAATGTACTGATCATTTAACATGAAAATGTGTTCTGACGTTCATTGTTTGTTCAGTATCACTGAATCAGTTAGACTGCGTCAGCGAAACTGACAAGTGAGAACCCGCCTTAAGACTTCGCTATCCGTCCGTCCGTCCGTCTGTCACAAAAGGTCGATCTTATGAACCGTTATAGCTAGACAGTTGAAATTTTTACAGATAATGTATCTATGTTGCCGCTATAAGAACAAATACTAAAAAGAGAATTAAATGTTTACAAATAAAAAAATACTTTCACTAAACATTATCTTTTAAGTAAGAATTTTACATAGAATCTTTCAAGTCCTCGGTGGCCGCGTGGTTAAAGCGTTAGGACTTTACGCTGCTATGACGTTGTAGCCGTAGTAAGGCAGGTTCGAATCCTAGTCAAGGCGATTTAAATTACTTATACGCGCATTCAAAATTTCAGCTAAATTGGAAAAACGTTTACAATAATATAGTGTCTAATGTTGTATACCGTGCTGACAACTGCTACTTTTGGGTCGGCATTTACATGTGTGGAAGTAAATCGCATAGGGATCTTATTAAGTCGGAGTGAGAGAACTGCGACCGACCGACGCGCCGCGCGACGGTGTGCTGTTGCGGCGTTGCCGATACGCCTTTCCCTATCAAGTAAAGTAAAATCACGATCGCGAACCGCTTATTTTTAAAAGACTTTTTTTTCAAGAGATAACTAGATAAAATCATTAGACATGTTTCTGAGCATCTGAAATGGAATTATAAGGATATCGTTAAGGTGTCATTTTTTTTATAACGAGAAAACGTCAGTAATCGCGATAATTTAAAAACTCAACTTTATAACACATAACAGGCCATAACTCAAGAACCACTTTAGATATTGAAACTTTTTTTTTATTTTCAAGATTGGATATTTTACAATATGTTTACATAAAAAAAATTCGATAAGGTTGTTTTTTCCATTCAAAAATTGTAAACAATCCATCCATTTACTTTTAGAGCATAGCAATTTTCAGCAATCCTGTAATTTTTTTATTGTTAAAGATTTTCACATACTGTCTACAAAGAAAATACACCAGAAATATTAACAAAGTTCTTGAAAAAACTACAATCTATTATTTCTAATAGATTTCAAGTTATCGATTTTTGAATTCATAGTTCTAATAGCGCGACCACTATCGAACACCCACTCAATTCCACTTATTTTTACCAAAAATTCAAGTGTTTGTAGCTTGCACTAGGGAAAATTACAACGACTCGTTAATAAATAAACAAATCAAGTATCACGAGACGTAATTAAATCGTGAAGCTGAACGCATGACGTACATCTTTCATCCCCTTCCACGTGCTTCCACGTCTCTTAGCGATGTGCACAGTTTCTCGGTTTATTTCATACGTTTGGCAACGTGTTTACTGTCCTCTCTTTGTTCAGTACATTATAAACGCATTGTACTCTTACATACGGAAATCTCAACCCAAGACTAACCTTTGCCAGCCCTTAGTAGATAATGAATGGTACGGAACCCTTCGTGCGTGATCAATTTTTTTTATTTTATTTGTTTATAGGAAACTGATCGTGATGAGAACAAAACCATCGCTCTGGGCACCTCCAAACTGAACTATCTGGACCCCAGGATATCGGTGGCGTGGTGCAAGAAGTACGAGGTCCCCATCGAGAAGATTTACAACAAGACTCAGCGTGACAAGTTCAGGTGGGCTATCGACATGGCGGGACCCGACTATAGATTCAATGAGATTGATCAATAAGAAATCAAACCTTTGATCAATTTTAACATAGGAGGAAAACAGATTTTTCCACAATTACTACTTCTTTCAAGTAAAGGCCGACGAGAAAATGACTTGAAACAGCGCCGAAAATTTCCAAAGATAGATATTTTTTATAGTATTGAAAAATTGTGATTTAGATGCTGAATTTTTTGGTCGGGAGATCTCATTTTTTATCGAATTTATTTTAAAGGGTTGAGCTTTTTCGAGTCATTTTTCGGAGTCTCACGGACATTTTGTATGCAATCTCCCATCTGTGTCTAACGTCGTCGTGTCACAAAAACGGTAATTTTTTTTATTAAAACCATTGCAATTCGTGAAGGGGTCAATTTATCAAATTAGAACCAATTTCATACAATTTATTTATTTTACATTGAATGTTTGTTTATATACATATAGAGAGCGATTTATTTCCATTATATTGGAAAAATTTAAACATTTTATTTTTAAAATAATCCGTTTTATAACTTGTCCCCTTCTGTACCCCCCTCCATTCTTAGGAACCAATTTAGTATGTTTAAGAGTTAAATTATTGGAGCTAGTGTGATTTTGGAATTTTACAGAGCTGACATATGTCTATTGTAAGTGTTTTTTGAATGGGTCAAATCATTGTACAAACCTAAATAAAATGATACCAAACGATGAAATTTTGTGTTCGTTCAGACGTATTTCTGTTTATTTTCTGGATTCCGATTCTTTATATGTGTTGAATATTTTTATGTGTCGCGCTGTGTAGATATTTACGGGGTGTGTCATAAAGTTCGCAACAAATAGGAATTTTTCGAAAGTATTTAAAGTAACTATAGTTTGTCCAACGAGTCTGGGAAGATTTTGACAGATGACATGAATTTACCTGTTTATTAAAATGACAGACACAACTGTAACTGGTAGAGATCTCGTTGGACAGTCTATATAAACTTTTTGAACGAACTGATAGCTAGTTTTTTTCAATTAAAGTGAAGTTTTTCCTTGTATAAGCCATTGCAACAATTTTGGTATTTTAAAAATTGACATTTCTGATTTTTCACTGTTATCTACGTGACAGTAAACAAAAATATTGTATTAGGAATTATTCTTCTTGTGTTTACTTGGTTCTATGTAATTTAAACCAAGAAAATATGATTCTATTGTAAATTGTCCGAAAAATAATAAAATCGTTAAGTACTTGTATTTCTTTAAAACTTGACATTCAGTCATGAATTAATTCACTAATTCAGTAACTCAATATTTGCTTGACATTCTGAACAACTATTTTGGATTTTTTCCAATATTTTGTCCCCTAACCCCACTTTTTGCATATCTGAGTCCCATGACATATGTCAAAACGATTTCTTTGCTATTGAGCATGTATGAAATAATTCAATTAAACTTTTTTTTTAATAAATCAATACTAAAAAACGCCTCCGTATGTTGCAAACTGTTTGGCACACCCTGTATATATTGAATATATTTTTCATTCGCTCATTTCAAATGCCGATATATAGGTGTCTTTCAGTTTTACATCATATTTTGTGAAGTTAACTTTTTTTTACTGTAAAGTAAAATAAGTGTAGCAGTCTGTATATTACAGATTTATCAATAAAATCAATTCTGTATAGTAAGTTAATGAGTTTCATTGTACTCCGTAACAAAGTTATTAAAGGTTTATCAATTAGAATTAATAAATAAACAACAGAGTAAATATATTTTATAAAATAAAAAATATAAATTATGTATGTGTATTAAGAAAAAAAATCTACATCTTTATATTCTGGGGGCATAAATGTGAACTCTTCACCATTTTGTAATTGACCATAACCTGTAAGAACAAAACTTATTTTATTATAAAGTTTTATCAGAAAAAAATCAAGTCTCCTAAAATATACCTGATTGTAGGAGCCTTAACTTAGTAGTAAATTAAGAAAATACCTAAATTTTTCATCAACTTTGTTGGCGCATTCCTGATATGCATAGGGACAACAGGTTGTGGTCCTTTGTGTTGCTGAATCAGTGCTTTAGCTCGTGCCAACGCAGAATCAGCTTCACGAGATTTGGGTGCTCTAAATTGTGAAGAAGGTTGCATAATTTTAGATTAATATTAACCAGAAACGTTATATTTTGATTTCTGTACACACCTTGCCAAATATATGGCACATTGTGCCAAAAGTACGTCTGCTTCTGGCATGCCTATGAGCTGACAGCCTTCCATAGTAGCGATTGCTAAAGGTAAAGCACTGGGATCGGCATTACCTAAAATTATAAATTAGTATATATTTAAATATTATTTTTTATTATTGAACATCTGACATGTAAAATTAGGGACGTCAATTTTTTTTGTGCTAAACAAAGGAAGTGACGCCAGTGACAATTTTAGCAATTTTTAATTGTTTGTTGTGTGTAGTGAACTTTGTATAAACTTTATTACAATGGTGATTTACAAACAGTTTTCTACACTCTACCTTTTTAGCTTTTTTTTTTTATTAAATCTGTTAATCGTTTTTTTGATATTATACACGATATGTGCTACATATTGGACATAATAGTAGGACATACTAATTTTGTACCTTTTGTGAATGTTTTAATAATTTTTCTCTAAATAACTGGCGAAACTTTTATCAAAAATATAAATAAATAAAGATTATTCATTACTAAATAACTAATAATTTGTAACAGTAAGTAATAAATTAAATTTGGTAAACTCCTAATAAGTAATAGCAAAAAGGCAAAAAAACCTTCATAATAAATCCAGAGAATATTGTTAATACAGCCAATGATATAAAAAAGGGTTTACCACAGAACACAGTTTGAGCTCTAGAAGCTGTCATAATGTCGAAACGAAAAAAAGTTAGACGAGAAGAACTATACATTAATTATTAAATTAAAAGAGTACAAAATATTACCGATATCTTCACTTGCTGCTCTAACCATTCTTCTTGCAATATACCTTGGATCTTCCCCACTCAGAATCATCCTGGTAGTCCAATATAATGCTGCATTTTCATCGGAACCCCTTATGCTTTTGTGCATAGCTGATATAATGTTGTAATGCTCCTCGCCAGTTTTATCATACAAAAGGTGTGCTCTCTAGAATTTTAATTTTGGTAAGAAAAGTTAAAATAAAGTTTAATATTACTTTTAGTTTATCTTCTACATCCTTCACAGTTACAATTTTATCAGGATGCTCATTAAAATAATTTATTACTAACTGAAGGTTGCTTAGAGCATCTCTGGCATCTCCATCACTGATATCAGCTAACCATTTCAGAGCCTTATATTCAATGGTTAGTCTAAAATATTAATACATAAAATAAGAAAGTTTTTGAATTTATTAATTTTATTTACCCTGCATCTTTATATTCAAAATTTCCTGCAGGATTATCGGTATCGATTAAATCCACATCAAAAAATTCCGCAGCTTTTTCAAGGATACAACACAAATCATCAGAATTTAACTTTTCTAGTACAATAACTTTGCACCTACTCATTAAAGCATTGTTTATTGAAAATGAAGGGTTTTCTGTTGTAGCTCCTATTAGAATAATGTCACCTTTCTCTACGCTTAGCAAAAATACATCCTGTTGTTTCTTGTTGAACCGATGTATTTCATCCATAAACAATACAGTCCTTTTTCCAAATTTCAAGTCGTTTTTGGCTATAGTGACGGCATTTTGAACGTCTTTTATACCGCTAGTCGTAGCGGATAGAGAAATAAATTTCCATTTAGTTGGTGCAGATTTACACATTTCTTGTATGACGTGGGACAGTGAGGTTTTCCCACAACCCGGAGGGCCCCATAGAATCATATTTGGAATATCACCTTTGTCTAATAAGCATCTTAATACTGTACCTTTGCCTAATATATGATCTTGACCAAAGAAATCATCGAGTGTTTTAGGTCTAACTTGCATTGCTAAAGGCACTTTAAAAGATTTATCATATTTCTTTTTTAATGTGTCTTGGACTTTGCTTGAACTACTACTATTACTACTATGTTCTGGTTCTTTGTTATCCAACTTTTCACTTGTATTTCTACTTAAATTAAATAATAATGGAGTTTTTACAGTAGAATTGTTTCCTACACTAGTTTGTCTGGAAGAACTTTGTACATCTCCAGGACTACGTTGTTTAAACGTAAATTTAGGTTTGGAAGCTTGAATAATAGGCGAAGGAGAACGTTTTCTTTTGGTTTGATCATCAGAACAATTTAAAAATATACATTTGTTAACGTGTTTTTCAATTTCATCCTGTATAAATAAATTATCGCATATAGGACAATTCACTTGATTTGGTTCTTGTTTGGTTGGTTCTGCACTCATTGTTGCTAAAATAATACAAATTGTTAACAAAAATTACACCGCATTTGAAAATACAAATTACCGGGCTGTTACAAAATAATAATGAAGTTAGGCAGTATTAAAACCAAGGCACCCAATTTTTTTAAATGTGTGTTGACCTTGATGCTCCCAGAGGGTTACGGTCAGTGAAATAAAGGGAAGAAGAAAGTTGGCCATCTGTTGGCCATATAGTCCTGGCAGCTTAGGCCGTAGAACCAATCAAGAAAGAAGAAGAAAGTTTTGTGTATTCTAAGTTGCCTACCGATAATATATAATTGACATGGAACAGCACCAAATTTAAATTTTAATTACAAATCACTAGAATAAATAGAGCTACTGTTTAATTATGCTAGTTCTTGGAGCAGAGGGTTTGATTTATATGTTTTATTGGGGACAATTAATGAAAACTTTAAATAATTAATGGCAACAAGTGGCGAAATATTTTTAGTTCTGGTAATACAGTCGCGTCGTCTATTGATCGAAAAATTGGCGCACGCTCGAAAATGAAAATTCGCTTCGAACCAAAACTCGAAAAACGAAAATAAGGGTAAACAAAATCAGAGTGGATTTTTAATTTCCGAAAATCCGTAAAAGAAAACGAAAAAATAAATATTAAGAACATACAAAGTGTTGTGAATTTAAAGTATTAAGAAAAAAGTACAGGAATAATGGGTTCCCCAGTTTTAAAAAGTCTTTCGGTACTATTAGGACTGTTTTTCATATTCGTAGGGATAATTAAAATATCTAGTGTGATTTCGAAGGATCTCCATAAAGATTTGGTAAGTTTTTTTATAGAGTTACACAATAGTATCTTTCATATTTTAGGTATTTGGCGTATTGCCTGCCCAGGATAACGGGAATATTTTTGTGGCGGAATTTATGGGATGCGTTTGCTTATTTTGATAGAGAATCTGCTTTTTTTCCTACATTTTTGGTTAATTTTCTGAATTATTTTGTCCATACAATAATTTTTAATACTTCATTTTATAATAAAAAGTATAAAAAGAAAATAATCATAAAAATTACAGAATTACCAATAAGAAAATATTCAGGTTTAAAATAAGACTAAACGCGCTATTAAAAATAATTTAGAGTTACTATAAATAAATTGTAAAAACAAACATGGTTTGTAAGAATATCTGGATTATTCATTTAATTGAATTACCATTCAATATTTATGTTTAAGCTATTTTAAAGTAGGTAAATAGTAAAATGTGGGCGGATCTATATTTTTTGGGGGGTGGGTTGCATTAAGGTTGCCAGAAATTAGAGTTTTTAATACAGAGTTGTCAAAAAATATATAGGCTTGGTGCATTCTCCGCCGGTGCTGCCACCATCGGAGAATATCGTAAACAACTAGTACTTACAAATACACGGGTTTAAATAGCGAGAATACAAAAATGTATTATTTAATTATTCTAAAAGTGTTAGGAAGCATAATTTGTGAAAATTCTAAAAATAAAATAAAAAAGTAAATATTTTGATATCTTTAGAAGGTCTAACTTGTATTATAATTTATTATTCCAGTTAAAAAAAACTTTTTAGATGAGTTCAACTATGGTAGTGAGCATAGTTTTAATCACCGGTTTTGCTAGTGGGGCATAATTGGGGCTATTTCGGCTATAACGGAATTTTTTAAAGATACATAATTATAATACTCAAAATCAATCAAGTATGAAATATGTTTTAAAAATGGGATTTGTGCGGTTAAGCCAAGACACGCAAAACTGACAGGTAAAACGTTATGCGTAGAGGGGGCTTTAAGCTTAAATAATAAGTTTATTTATTCTACCTGTAGGTATATCGTCGATGTTAAGTACTATTTGGTAAATTTGCCTTCTCTCTATTCAACGAAGTGTTTATTCAAGTCCGACCAAACTTAGGTAACTAATATTTGCCCTGTGTGTGTTTCAGAGGAAAGAATACGTAAAATATGCCAAAGTATTTCCTCTAGCCGAGGCGCTTAACTTCAAGATCCCGTCGAAGTGGTACCGAAGAACCGTCGGAGTGCTAGAAATAATATTTGGCGCCGCATTAGCCTTTTATCCCAATCGTAAGTTAAACAGACCTTAGGCAATGATTACTTTTGTTATGGGACATAGATAGAGTAATAACGATATCTTAAAGGACATACACAATTTATTTATAAATTCAACAATTATTCATAGATAATTGAACTTTTGAATTAATAAATATCATTTATGAATTAATAAATATCATTTATGAATTCATAAATATCATTTATGAATAAATAAATATCATTTACGAATTGATAAATATTATTTATGAATTAATAAATACCATTTATGAATTAATAAATATAATTTATGAATTAATAAATATCATTTATGAATTAATAAATATCATTTATGAATTAATAAAATTCATGAATAAATATCATTTACGAATTAATAAATATTATTTATGAATTAATAAATATCATTTATGAATTAATAAATATCATTTACGAATAAATAAATATTATTTATGAATAAATAAATATCATTTACGAATTAATAAATATTATTTATGAATTAATAAATATCATTTACGAATTAATTAATAAATATCATATAATTGTTACTAATAAATAAATAAATATTTAATCTATTTAAGAATTAATATCTTTTATTTATGAATTTATACAATTTTTTTAATTAATAGTTTTCATTCATGAATTAATAAAATGCGCCTCACCAAATAATTTTCGAGCTACTTTTACGCCAAGATATAACTCTACAAAACTATACATATTTGCGGTAAATTTTCTATTTTTTATTATTTAATACAGGGTGGAGATGAATAAGTGGTAAAATTAGCGGATATGGCTGTTTTCTAGATTTAGTAATAACGATATTTTAAACTATATGTCATTTTATTCGTAAATAAAACGATTCATATATAAATTATTGGAATTAATTAATCAAATTTATGAGTTCATAAATTTTATTTATGAATTTACAACCTTTATTTATGAATTAAAAACTTCTATTTATGAATTAATATATCTCTTTTATGAATTAATAAAATAAGCTTCCAAATACCATTTTAAAGATTTTTTTCCAAGATATATTAATAAAACTAGACAAAATTAAATATTTTCTACAATTATAATATTTCAATTTTTTTTACAAACATAATATACAGGGTGTAAATAAGTACGAAAAATTTCGGATGATATTGTGTTTTTTTTTTAAATAAGAGGTGTTTTTTTATGTAAAATATATACTACAAACTTGGTCTTATAGGATGAATTAAAATTATATTATTATGTTTTTCAAAAACGGTTCATGTTTAACAACTCAAATTTGGTGTGTTGCTGCCAATATACTTTTTGGAGTATCTAGGCTGAGTTTAATAAATTTCTACAAATTATTACAGATTTCATTTGAATCAGCGTCAGTGAGCAATGCCCGGTGTAAAATTAGTTTTTATATTACCGAAAACCTCTCTGACCGCAACCTATATTTTAAACTGTCAATGTTAAGTAAAGATAAAAATAGACGGATTTAGAATATCTGGTCTATTTAGAAAATTATATGTTTAGTCCGTTACTCCAACAAAAATAATATGCTATATTTGTCTAATTTGACTAAAATAACCAATATATTTTTATTGAGTTTTTATTTCCTTGTTTTTATATGTATATTATGTATTTTTTTAAAATAAATCGAAGCAGATTTAAATGCTCTTTCAAACTATATTAGGGTTTTCTATACATATCTAGCTCAGATTTTGAATAAAAAACGATTTTTCAATAAAATGGCAATCAAGATGGCTGGAGTGGCCATGGCAATTTTTTAGTGACACTTAGTAGCTATTTTCAAAATCGACATTAGACTTTATTTAAATTTATAACAGGTTATTTTTATTTAATTTACCTACAATAAGGTTAATAAGGTTAATAAGTAAATATTAATTTTATCAAGAAATGTAAAAATGAAACCCCTGTATGGAAGCAATAAAATTTTTTAGTAAAGTTTATTTCCCTAGCTTCAAAGCCAGCACAAGAATTAATTCTGAAAAGTAATGTACAGGGTGTTAACATTTTTTTTATTATAGCATGCATATTTAAATATCTTTAAATATCTCAAAAACCAAACCATTTAAACATATAAAACTCTTGTAATGAATACCTTATTTTATGCCGAAGAATCCAAAAATGAAATAAAATACCGGGTGTTCCATAAGAACAAATATAACTTTGGTATGGATCTTAGTTCTGACACGCCCTGTATATTTAAAAATAATTTTAAATTATGCACATTGCCTCTCTACATATACCCATAAAAACTTTTGTTTCTTCATCTCTCCGTTTTCCTATAATCAAGCGAGGCGAATGAGGTGCGTCACTCTGTACAAAATTCATTACGAGTTGTTGTTTATTTATTTTTTCCAGATAAAATAAAAAATGGCGCTAACGTTGGTCTCCTAGTCCTTACCTTCATGGCAGTATACTCCCATTACATGGTGGCGGATCACTTTGAAAGGACCGCACCGGCCTTGGTGTTCCTGTTCCTCCTTTGTGGTCGGCTGGTAGTGTTCTTCCAGGTCCAATCCAAGGAACAGCTAGCTTCGGAACAGCCTGTCTCCAATGGGTTCAAACAAGAGTAGAGACAAATCACTGTTAGTTTGATTATCCGCCCTACAATGTCTTTTAAGGTTGATAAGTATTTTCTGTTTAGTCCTATAAGCATTTTCTATTTATATGTGTGACACAAAAGGTGAAAATTATACAAATATCCCCAAAATTATTTGATTAAATTTATTAATAGAAAATGCTTGAAGAATGAATGATCGAATCTTAAAACATGTTTAGGTACACGAAGTGAATAAAATTATAGATCATAATAATTGTAAAAAAATATTCTGATTAGTGACGAAAGTGAAATTACATTTGTAAATTTAGTTTATAATGTGTTATATTGTCATCTATTTGTACGTTTTTATTATACAATTAAAACTTCAAGAACGACGAATAGATTTAAGAAGAAATTATAAGCTTAAGCTGTGTTTAGACTACTTACGTTCAAAAATGACTTGTTCAAAAATTTGTGTCTCCAAAGTTTAGGGTGAACTGTTTTTTTAATGCCTTTATTGCCAAAAAATGTTACAATTTGTAGACAAAGGTAAAGTGAACAAACAAAGTAAACAAACAAACAAACAAAAGAGAACACAAAACATTATACTAATAACATTGTCAGTCTTATTGTTTAAAATAAACATTTATAAATGTTTACAATGTCAAAGAATAAAAAAATAAAAATAAGATTCAAAAATATTTAGTAAATTTATACTAATATCAATGACCTCTAGATAAATTTACCTCGATGTCATTGGTAAATGTATAGTAATAGCAAACATTAGACCAGTGTTTACAAGATCAAATTCAATCAAAATATAAGTCATTTACGGCGTATAAAGCCTTGTCTAGTAAATAAGATTTCAATGCTTTGAGAAATGAAGAAAATTATGTTATGGATTTGATCTGAAATGGCAGGTGATTGTGCATTTTTTTCGAGTTGTATAATATTGAACTTTTAACTAACTCCGAGCGTGGGGTAGGTAGATAAAGATCTTGCTCCGCGTTCCTGAGTGGATAAGTGTGAGATGGCCTTTCTTGAGAAGCTGATACATGCTTACGTATTAGTCAAACGGATTCAAATATAAATAAGGAAGGAAGAGTTAATATTTTTAATCTTTTAAAAAAGTCCTGGCAATGGGTTCTGCTGTTTAGTCCGAGTGAATATCGAACAGCTCTCTTCTGGAGCTTGAAAATGCGGTCAAATTGAGTCGCACAACACGTACCCCAGAATGGAAGGGCATATCTGAGGTGCGACTCAAAAAGTGCATAATAAACAGTTCTAGCCACTGACAAGTTATAAGCTCCTTGGAAACAGATCTTAATGCAAAACAGGCAGAGCTTAATTTTTTCGACAAAGCGTCGATATTCATGTCCCATTTCAGTCCAATTTGTTAACGTGGGCCACTTCTGAAAAACACCCGGTATAGACATCAAAAATCTTTCTAAGTAAACCTATAACGAGCTTGAGCTTAGGTAGTCTAAACGAGGCTTTATATTTGACCAAAAAAACGTGTTAAGATATGTAAATCTACTGTAATAATAATAATGATTTTTTTAGATTGTAATTCTTGTGTCGCCTACTTAAAATGAGCTTTCATATCGTGTACTCATTGGTCAGTAGAATCTTGTGATATTTAAGAGGTAGATCTCGATGTTATACAAAGAGTTCTAGATTTAATTGGTGTAAATAGTTATTCGAATTTGATTGTTTTAGTACTAGAATTGATAAAAAAAATGATTTTATCTATAATAGTCGACAGAATACAGACACAATTTGAAATAGACAAACAAACTAGTAAGAAATATCATTTTTATTCAAGCAAACTTGTTTTAGATAAAATCTTTTTTTTTTCATACAAATGACTACTTCTGTGAAAAGCATTTTTTTTAAATTAATTAAAAAAAAAGTTTGTTTTATTTTAAAAAATAGCGAATATTAGTACCTACTTATAGGAATAATATCTTAATGATCTTATTTAAAAAAGGTATATCAAAATATAAAGCTCTATGCTTCAAATAAACTAAAATAAAATAGAAATTAATAATTCTTTTACGATTTTTGGAAAACGAAAACGAATAAAAAATGAACGAAAAATTATTGGGGTTCAGCATTAATTTTTAATAAATAAAAAATTGAAATAAGGAAAGTACTTACTGGTTAAGTTAACATATATTAAAACAAATCATCGTCAGTATCGCCACTGCCATTTGTAAAATACCATCGATGTGTTGTAATATTACAAAGAACTTATTTCACAATAAACAATATTAGCAAACAGCAGTAAAAATCTTTTTTTTTCTGACATTTTGAATACTTATGCCAAATCTTTAAAACAATGCAATGCTATTTTAAATTAAAAATAACTATTAGGTATTAATTTATTTAAATAATTTTATTATTTTTGACTGAAAAATTCGATAAATCCATATATGTTTTTTTCTAAATTATCTTTAATAATTTCATAAATTCCAGATATATCCAGATCGACAATTTAAAATAAATACCTCAGCACACCGTCTATATAAATACTCTTTGATCTATATATAGAAAAATCAGATATTATGAACCTCAATTTTCGTAAATCAAGGTTTTTATCAATGACTGGTTTACATCATAGAGATATTTGAATGAAAATAGCCTAAAATTATAAAAATAGTTAACCAAGTTGAAAGAAATATTACATAATGAGATTTAATAATTATATTTTTTTTTGAGCTACTGTTCAGTGGTTTTAGCAAAGTTTACAGAATATATATTTAGTTTTAGTGTAAATAAAAATATAAAAAATCAGCTTATGGTAGGTAAATCAATTTTATTTTACATTTTAAAATTTTTCCAATGAATTTTTTGAAAAAGGTACCTAGCTGTAAGTTACCAAATTTGAACCTACAATTTATTGAGGGCCTTGGCCCCATGGGCCCCCCTCTGTATCCACCACTGAGTACCTAAATTGGTTCAACAGAACTGTTTTAGCAGACCAAGCCATTAAAAAGGTCACCTGTGCAGAGAAAGTACCGTATATTTTGTTTATTAATTATTACTAATTAATAATCATAATTACATGCCTATTTAGTTCGTAAAATACTTATAAATAGGACTTGCATTGTCCATATTTTATCAACACTAAGACGTACATACTATACATCGGTATTTAGCTTTGCTCACATCAATAAATTTTCAAAGCATCGGGGGGTACCTATCTGGTACTTGGTCGGATCCATTTGGTTCTTTAAATTGATTTCTCTCATTTTCTAAAGGTTAACTTGTAACTGCTATAGAGATATAGTAAATTGTTTTTATCGAAATAAATATGTTATGGCTATGTTTCCACTTTACTTACAACAAATTTAGTGCATTCCTTTTACGGAGTTTAACGTGTGTGTCGTATTTTTGATGTTATAAGCTGTAGAGGTGTGTGGTCTACTTTATCATACAAATACTGACTTTATGTTTGTTGTAGAAGAGTTTTTTTTTTATATAAACTACTAGAGTTACTTAGTACCCTTATACTTTGACCTAATACAATTATTAATTTTAATATGGAGAGTATCATGAAAAAAATAAAATAAAATTCTATAGCGATTAGAATATTTATCATAGTTAATGGTAATCTACATCATATAGAATAGAATAAAAGAAGATAACCATCTATTAAGAAAGAAAATATCCATCTATTAAGACAGATATGAAACTTAATAGTAAAATTTTAGATCAAAGCGCCCCCCGTGTCCTTAGTCAAGACTACGTTTAACCCAGCACCTTCGCCTTTTTTGCTCTAAATGTTTTTTTCTATATTTAATATTTATATTTGAATTCAAAGGTTTGATTTTTAAAGTTACTTGATATATTTGTATATCAGAGTACTTTAATAAAACATAAAAATAGATAAATTTTACAGTTTATTAAAAATAAAATTTGTCTATAAGCTATATAGTAATTAAATCACAATATTTTTAGACCATACCGACAGGTATGGTAGGCTAAATAAGATCGGCAAAATTTTTTTTTTAATTTCACTCAAAATGAGTTATTTGGGTCAAAAATGACCTAAATACAAAATATTTTCATGGTGTCTGTCTGTCTGTCCGTTTGTCTGTAACACGATAACTCAAAAACCGCTAAACCGATTTTAACCAAATTTGGCACAAAAATACTGTGGCACCCGAGAATCTGGCCATTAGTTTTTGGTGGCGATGGGGGGTTGGTAAACGCGGTTTTCAATTTAAGATTAAGAATAATATTTGCAACAAAATTTGTAATAACATCAAAATCAGTCAAAGTAGCAGTTTTTGAGATAAAAAAAAATCAAATATGGGCGGCTATACGTGTCTCCCGGCGCCAATTTTTGATAAAAGTATAGTTAACAGAAAAAATAACTAAGTAATGCCTGGCCCCCTTCGCTATCCACAAACATTTAGAACAATATATTTCTTAATATGTGGAATGTTTCTTTGACTAGTAACTGTAAAATTACATTGACTTATTTTATAAACCTAATAATTTTACACTAAATAACTTCTAATATGAAAAATATTCATGAGAGTGTTATAAAACAAAATAAACTTTGCCTTTTGATGTTGAAAGCGTTTGTATATCCATAGATGTCTATTTCTTCTATCTAAATCTTGTCCAAATTTAATAAAACTATTTTTTATTTCTCATTGACAAGTTGAGAATTATGTCAAATCTTTGTGTCAAATACATTTAAAAGGCAATTTTTTAGGCAACCAAATAAACTATAGTAACATCTAAAAATTATTTTTCCTACCACTAGCGACATATCGTGTCTTTAGTCAATACTAAATTATTTTAGCAAAATTTCACTATATAAGTTTCCAGGCAATAATAAGAAATATCGGTTTAATTCATTTTTTTGCTGACGATACTGAAATGATTCAAATACTTAAGAGCAAATTGATGTAGTGAACGGATGACTTTTTGAATTAAAGCAACTGAAAATTCCCAAGTTATAAGCACCTAGTCCGAACCTGCTTATTTTTTATTCAGCAACCCGCAGTATACCTACATAAAAATAATTAGATGAAAAGAAGCATGTTCATGTTCAAATTCTTTTTTTTTTAATTAACGAAGAAGAAATAACCTGTGACCCTTAAATGTTTCTTTTCTTAATTAAACAATCCACAAGACTTTTCTACGAAATTCAACCTGGATGCTGCATATTTGACGATACTCTCTCACTATTATCCCGGCTTAAATTAATTAAAGAAAAAATACCTTTGAACTCTGGCTCCATCCGTTAAATTAATTGTCATAGAATTCCTCGAAAATCTTGGTCCAAGCGCGAGATGTTCGGCTTCATTATAATTTCAACATCTTAATTATAAAGATTCGAGTTACCAGATATAATTTATATTTCTGAAATGACTGTGACTTTTTAACTATTGTGAGAAAATAACAGAAATAAGTGGGGAATTTTCTATTTTCGGTGTGGTATTTTCGGTGTTATCAGTGTAGAAGATCGAATGATTTGTTTACGTAAAGTGTCTAGAGTCAAATTGTTATCTTTTAGGCATCTTAAATTCCAAATATGTAATGTGGTTCTTTTTATAAGCTTTAACTAGCGTGTACCCGCGACTTCGTTCGCGTCGAAT